GTGTTCATACTGAATGCAGTTGCCAGATTTTGTAACTATAAAAAGAAAATAATACATGTTTTCAAATATGTATGCATAAAGGCACATAAATATGTAAGGTTTTACAGCAAGATTTCAAAGATCTATAAAGAATCAGGAGCTATTTCTACTTCATCTTTGTCTACATAGTGTAGCTACACCGATACATTTATGAAAATTACAGCTCATAGTGACTTTATAGTATCTCCAATGCAAGCACAACTATAATTCTACTTAGGAAATAAGAGCCTTTGTATAGTAAAAACCTGATGTATCCCACTGCCTTCACGTACTTGTGCACCATATCCTCATGAGAGAAGCATTTGAGGATTACCCCAAACTGCTTCCCTCAAACATAAACACATAAAGCGACCACCTCCCACCTCTTCCTACCTTCAGTGAGGTTTGGAAGTAACAAAGCTGGCACAGTTCATTTATCACTGCTGCTGTAATGTGAATTTACTGTGCTGCTCTATACAATTTTCTGCTTCACATAAACATTTCTTAATCAAATGACTGATTTGCCCCAGACTGGAGTTCCAAAAGAAGGAAATATATTTACATGGATCAGGGCCTTTTACAGACTGAGTGAATTTAATTGCGTAGATGCCATCTGCCAAATATTGGCAGGTATAGCACTGCTTTCTATAATCTGAAACCTAATTTGAAATTCTACTGTCATCCACTGAAATGATGAAATGGTGAGTTCAGTTCAGAACACCTTGTGCAGAATAAACATACACAGTACTCTATGCTTCATTTGTTTCCTTTGGCATAGAAATTATGGCTTTCACTATAAACGTACAAGTCTCCTTTTAAAGCCATGCTATTAAGGAAACTCTTTCAAGGGAAACAAGAAAAACAAAAATAGCATTTACAAGCACAAAGAGTTATTAAGGAATAAAGAACACTGAAGTACACACACATGTGCTCTATTAACAGATTGAATGTTTGACTTGTATTTTCCCATTATAACTAATTTCTTGTTCTGAGATCAGATTTTTCGTATACTGAGGACAGCTATGACTAGTTTTCACAAAATTCAATCACTCAGCAATTTTTAAATGGGTTAATCGTGCAATTCATCTGTTTGAAGAATAGTTCAATAAAGCTGTTTCTCCCCTCTAAAGTCCAGTTAAGACCTTCACGTGAATTGTGACTTCATCTCAGAAATAATTATCAAAATATGCTAAAACTAGCATATGCTAGTTTTTCATTCCATATGCTTACCAGGAACATCCCAAAGTAAAATTAACAATGAATTCTGTGATGAAAGGTTAGGGAAGGCTAGATAACAATTTTAAATATTTCTAAGTCTGAAAATCTTGGGTAAGAATTTAAGGTCATGCAGCTCCAGAGTTTATTCTCCTTTCTTTGAATAAAGAACATGAACTGTCTTACTTTAACACCTCTAAGTGAATTTTCCACTGTCTCTGAAGAAGTGATGTGATTTGAAAATTGTAAATAAATACAGTTCTGATGCATTTTGTTACTGGCACAGCATCGTCTAGAATCTTTCTCTAAAGAAACATAAGATTTTTATGGAAAAATTGATAATAGTGCATAATTGACTTTGTCAGAGGAACGGTAATGCTGCATTTTCTACACCAATACTTCTGTTGAAGTGAAAGTAGGTGTTAACTTACATCCGTAAGTGTTAGGTTCATCCATGCATCAGGAAGGTAATTTGTTCCAAGACTTGAATTAGTCAGATTTATAAAAATGTCAATAAATACTTCCTTTTGTATGAAACCTAGTAAAATAAAAGTTGATATAAAAATTATTTTTGCTTTTTTAAATAGTCTCACTTTGCTAAAGGGAATCTACTTTTTTCATTTTAATGATGATACCAGAAACTTATTTGTTCTGCTATTCTGTAATATTCATAATGTTAATATATTTGAAACCAAACATAATATTTTCTCATTCAAAATAAACCATTGGTGAGGCACTGCGCTGTCTGACCAGAGAGGTTGTGTAAATCCCGTCCCAGCAGGCACTCAAAGCTGGGTTGGATGGAATCCTGGGCAGTCTGCTCTGGTGAGTGGGAACCAGCCCACAACAGGGGGTTCAACTGGATGGGCTGTAAGAACCACTCCAACCTAAGTCATTTTACGTGGGGCCTGCATAATAGCAAAATGACAAATATTCCACAAACTGCAGCTTGATACTTGTCTTGACCTCCTTTGTGGTCTCTAATCCATACTCCGAGTCTACACTGTCAGTTAAAAATGTATGAATACAAATGCCAGTCACACGTTCTGTGCATTCAGTATCTACCAACATTTTCTTTCACTGTGTTGTACTTTAATTAACTGTATATTTACTTCAACTCTACAAAGTAATCAGAGGCTAGAGAATAAGATGGTAAACACAGAACACAGTTCAAATTTGAAGTGAAAATTAATTGCTTAAAGAGTTTCAAAGAATGTGTTTGTGGTAGTTAGATAAATAGCTCTGCATTTTATTTTAAAGAAATCACAACATAAACTCGTATATATGACATATATATTAATAATAAAACCAATTTGTTTTGTAAAATGGGATTGCCTTACAAGCAAACAGAATCTTTTAACTTCATGTGCATTATTAAAACATAAAACTATGCATGCCAAAATACAACATACAGTAGACCAATACGAGTCTGTCCAATCAGAAATGGACTTTCCTTGATCAGATGTTCACTGTAAAATCTCTGCAGTAAAGACTAAAAAAAAAAAAAAAAAAAAAAAAGTAAAAAAATTTCAAATGATCTAAATTTTGAGAGACTAAGCTGATTTGGTCTGGCTGTGATCACTTCCACAGTGTCAATACGTTAAGTTTTCAGACTACAATTAAAAGCAAACACAAACAGTAAAATACAAGAATGAAAAAGTGGCTTGTTTTTTTTTTTTTTTTTTTTTCTTACTGCAGCTAAATTTTGTCCTTCTGAAAATGAGCTATTGTGCACATTCTGTGGCTTAGACAGAGAATTCATCTTTGAAGTGGAAGAGAGAAGTGAAAATTAAGTTTACGAAGAAACATTTAAGTGTCAGGAACATGAAGAATGTGTTTGAACATCCATTTGATAGTGTGAGCATTCAAAGTCCTGTGGAAAATTTGAATTAGTAGGAACGGAACCTCTTCTGTTTGCTTTCAATATGAAAATCAGGAGTAAAGCTCTCAGTACATTTTAATATTGAAGAAAACCTCAGCAAGGAAAAAATGCAGGTTTGGAAATCTTGAGTTCTACTGATACAGGAAGAAAGAAGAGAAAAACATCTGGACTCTAAGCCTTATGGTCTCACATAAATTTCAGCATGAAAACAAAAACTGAGAAAAATACTGGCAAAGTAATAGTAATAATCTGACAATCTTCCACCTTCTGAAAGTTTTTGAGTTACCTATTTTGAGAAAGAAGACCTTTTTTAAAATCATGTGACTTAGGTCATTACTGAAACACAGTTGTTGATTTATGTATTTAAGGTGATCAGTAACTTGTAAAGGACCAACAGAAAGCACTTTCTGACTTCCTGGGGTATGGCTTAAACACTTCTAGTGCAAGGCCATCACTATGACAATCAAAGGCTGGTATCAGAAAGTATGATATCCTGTCCTCTCACGGGTTAGTCCTGCTTTGCTGACAAACCAGCCTACCTTTCCTGCAAGAACATTTTGGCTACAAAACTTATTTTTGACAAGCTTGTTAAAGTGAGCTCGCTTATTTATGACTTGGCACAATGCACTTGCAAACCTAGCAGGCATAAAAGGATTCCTGAGCGGGGCCCCAGTTCATCTTCATCATCTTGATGGCCACTGCTGTCTTGAGACTACAACCTTTGGATGAGTGCACTTACCCCCCTGAGTAGTTGGTTTTACTCTAAGTAACTATACATTTTCAAAATATATCCAAGAAACATTTGAGGGACAAGAAAATCAACAAACTTGAATGAAGAGACAGTGTCTAAAGTGGGAGAACTGGAGATTAAACTGGAGATTAAAACTTTAATCACTTCATATTGTATTGTCTAACACGTTAGGACATAGTTTAAAGGTAATTTTAACCTTAGTTGATGTAAGCTTGTGGCAAATCAGTGAGATACTCAAGCCCTCTTAGGTGATCTGTAGCATTTGCTCAATTTTCTTTTTCTGTAGTAAATGTTACTTTCTCTCTGCTACATGTAGAATTGCTGATGTGTTGTATGATAGTTTCTTACAATACCTCCTTATGAAGTCTCCTGATGTGGGAAAATTCCACAGTGTCATTAAATTGGTATAGTAGTTCAAAAAATTTCAAGTATAGTATAAGGGAATACCTCATCATAATGTGCTTAGTGAGGACTAGGAAGGTTCCAAAGAGATCCCTCATAAGCATGTTAAAAATAAATTTCAAATAACTGTCTTCAATTCAGTCTTCAATATTAAGTCTAGATTCAATGTGTTTATTTCTATGTTATACTGGACAGAACTTTTTAAAAATATCACATCGTATTACAAGACAAAAGACAATTAGTCAGTTTTCTTCATAGATTGCTAAGGCCACAGAGCTGCTCTACAGTCATGGTGAGATGTGAGTGGGTAGCTGCACAGATGGTGCTGAGAAAGAAGACTGTCATCCCCAAATGGGGCTCTGCAAGTGGTAGGAGGAGATAATGTCCTCTGGGTAGAATGAGAAAACAAGTCCAGAATCTTCTTTGTCCATTTAACAATAATGGTTTCAAAACATGTATGCTCTTTACAATATCTTTTCATTAATTCCAAAAGGAAAGAACAACAGATCTTTGTTGAATGACGTAAATAGAAAACAAACTTATTCAATATGTTGATATTCTTAACAAGAAAGGATCGAAAACATTATGGAAGAGGAATTAGTATTCAGTAAGTGTTAGAATAACTGAAGAGATTTGAGAAAACCAGTAATTAAATACAACTAGAAGCAAATCAAAGTGCACTGAGGAAACAGACTGCAAAAATTACTACGTTTATTATACTGCAGATAAAATCAATCTTGAAAGGACATCAGGTGCTTCGGAATACAGAATTAGAATTCAAAATGAACTTTACACATTCGAGGTAAAGCCTGGGATGAAAAGAACACATCCAATTAGAATAAATGTTAAGTGCTACACTGTACTGAAATAATTCACTGCATAAATGTCACAGAGAGAGTCATACTACCAAAGTAACAGTTCTGTAGAAAGGCTTTAGGGATTTTAGTTGATTACAATATCATCAAAAAGTATATGGGAAGAAATTTGAAATAATATTTGCAGTGTTAAGGTTTCTGTTGACAGACAATCTTGGAATCTGAAGATCTTGATGGACGTATAGAAACTAAGCAAGAATCATCACAGAGTTAAAAAATGACCTGAGAGACAATATTATAAGACTTCTGCTATTTTTATCTAGAAATGGAAGGCCATGAGAAAGTAACAATAGCTGTTCAATTAAAACAAAGCATTACAAAGAACACAGTAATAAACTCTTCTCCGTAGGTAACGTCAGGAAGGATGATAGCAGATCGTTTTTATCTTCAGCAAAATACTTCAGATAGTTATAAAAAGCAAGAGAATATTTTAACAAACCTATGAAGAGAGGCAAATATTGACTACAGGTTGTCTGTCTTGGTCCTATTTCACTGCAAATCTTTCAATACCTCTTACTTTTTGTGAAATTAAGATTTCATTGGCAAGGGCAGTTTACCCATCATATTCAATCCTAACACCAAAAATTGTGATGTTACACTCATGCATCGCAAAAGTGTCTTCAGAATTATAGATTCAACATCTACTTGTATTTGTTACTTCAGATTTCGTCTTCTGCTCTTGGACTTCCTAAGTAATATTTCCAAATATTTTCCATTCTTATCATACCTAGAACTTTTCCATTTGAAACTTCAAAGGAAAAAATCTGGCATTACAAAATTTAAAGAGAAAATCCTTGGAAACAGCTATGCAATACATCTAATAAGGCACGCCCTATAATATATATCCCGTTGCTTATTAGATAAAATATATAGGAACATTTTTGTTATCTGGGAAATCACAAATGCACAAATTTCAATGATCTTTTATAATCTACCATATAATATGCAGTACTGATCTTTTGTTCAGTAACTGAAAGTTAATTCTACTTGTGGATTAAGATATTTTAAAGAGGTAAGTACTCAAACACATTCTGTTTCTGACATATACAACTACTTAGACCTAGAAGTAGCATGAATACATAAACAAAAATAGAAAAGTTATATGTAAATATCACACCCTGTGCAATTACTAGACTTCTTATATCAAAAGCAGAGTGTTAATCTCAGTTTAGAAAAGGATTGAGTTAAAGGTCAAAGACTTCAAATTTATTTACCCCAAATTATTTTTAGTTCATCAGTTTGGGCATAACTAAGAAAAGCCTTTAACAATTTCTTACTAGTTTTCTTTAAACATATTCTGCTGGGATGCTTTTCAATGACTGGAACTGAGCAGAAAGTTTCGTTCAGAACATGAAGATAGTAGCAAATTATGACACCAGAAAATTCTCTGAACAGCAATCATCTTCAACTCCAATGTTAGAAAGATACAGCATTCTTATTCTAGTCCTCACTGAAATATTTTTACATGAAAATTAAATGGTTTAAGCTATGAAGTACATTACTCATATCCTGGTTGCAAGAGCATGTGCTATGGGAAGTCTGATTTATGCAATTAATTATCAGCAGTGGACTACAGAACTTCCTAAGAAGTCTTTACGTTACAGTACCTTGTACTATGTAGAAAGGTCTTCTGAAGGACAAGTCTGACAAGAAACTTGAAATGCCATGTTAAACTCTATTTCTAAGAGATTTAGAAGTAGTAATACACTCAGATATGGAGAGAAGTCATTATTCTTAACTCAGAGGCTAAGGATGCCAAGCAATCATTTGACAGCAATCATGCACTGATTTCCCACAAATTTATCAAAGGAAACTAATGGTTTTCAGAATGAATAAAACTTCCCAAACTATTAAAGATAAGGGCTAAATTAAGTGGATATAATGTATCAGTGGCTTAGATTAAATACAACAAAGGATCAGGTAATTATGACTCATCCTCTCTGAATGTAGCCTCTCTGCTGTAGACACAGTCACAACGTACTGCATATTTTTCGTTTATTACTTTCAGATTTGTAAGAAATCTAGAAAAGGAGGACAAGTATAAAAAGCTACCACGGATTCAACAGAGCACAGAAAGAAAAGCTATTTTTAAAAATAACTGTAGTACTTTATGGAAAAGATAGAAATTTTACAGTCATTAATCTTGCAAGATATATTGGTAAATTGTTCGTAGATGTTACAAGAATGATTTTGAAGGAAAACATCTAATCACTTTCACTCTGAGTCTCCAAATCAAACTCAGAGGAGCAAACTGATCTTTCATTTATTGCCATATCATTTGCCTGTGGCATACTATTTTTCTGCCAAATAATATTCTACAAATTAATAGCTTCTCAGGGGTCAAATTTTTCTATATCTGGAGAATTCATCTGGATTGTCATAAGATCTGTTGTCACATTTTCAGAAATTAGTTTAGAGTGCAGATGCATCATGATGAATTCCATTTGACTGAAGCTTTGCCCTGTTTCAGCTGAGCTTGCTGGCAGAGTTAGGATCAGATCCACCAATGCCAGGATATTGGGATACTTCTTTGAATAGTGTGCATTCACTGAATCCCATGTCAAGGTCTGGATGTTCTGAAATCTATAAAGCAAAGTAAAAATTATAGAATTATGCCTATTACTGGATGTATTTTCGCAATCTTTTTAAGTAAGTCAAAAAAACAGGTGCAAGTGCAGGATCCTTATTACCTGTTATAAAGCTCTAATTTCAGCATGTTCCATTCAGTTCCAACTTCACTGATCTTCACACTAGCAGCTTTTAGTATGGCTTCATAATGTTTACTCAAGACAGATACTTCCTTTTCACCAAATTCTATAACAGAGGGAAAACAATATATCAGTTGTTTAAAAAAAAAAAAAAAAAAGGAAAAAGAAAAAAAAAAAAGTCAAACAAGCACTCCTTCAGCAAGCCGTTATCACAGTTCTATACCTTGTTTCATTTTGTCAGGCCATAGTTTAAAACTTCCAATAAGAGTTGCTTTCAAGACATCTTGATTAGCATCACAGAAACAATCACCTAATCTCTTCACCAAATCACTTAGTACTTTGGTTCGTACTGCTGAAATATTTCCATTTCCAACAAGCTGGTGACCATGAAAATACTGAATGGTCTCCGTGAAGCGTTCCCTTGGACCAGCTCTGAAAGGTACAATGTACAAAACAATATATACTACTCTTTTGCTATATTGTAAAAGATTGTAATTCCATTGTTAGAAATGTCAGACCTTGTTTGATACATTTGGAGCGTTTCCACAGTTGACTGCGTGGTAGCAAATATATCTGCAATCGAGGAATTGTGATCCAGAGTAACACGCAACAGAATGTTGAGGACATTGATGACATCCAATAAGAAGTGGGAAAACTTGACTACCTCCATTTTCACAAGGAGATACAATAGGCCTTTGACTTTCTGCCTATTCGAGGTCCTTGAATCTCCTTCAATCTGGAAATCAAAACAGTAATATAATGTGTCAGGTAGATGGGTCAAAGTTGACCACAGCAATTAATTTTTCTGAAACAGATGTCCAATTTTTAAATCAGTTACCTTATTCAGATGTAGAACAAATGCAGGATAACCTTTAAGGAGAATCTGTAGAGCTGTCTGTAGGCGAGGAAGCCACTGGGAGCCTCCAATGCGAGATGGAATAGCTGGATGTAAATTGATAGCTTCATATATAGCTTTGAGATTATTCTTATTTAGAGTAGAGTTGTGATAAAAGTAGTACATATTTCTCAAGCCACTGGTTAAGATATTGTATAGCTGAATGTTTTCCAGTGCTCCCTTGTAAGCCAGCCTTAGGCGGTGAGCAAAACAATGCACAGACTGTACACAAGGTTGAATTTCCCTCACAAGGTTAGCTACTCCATCTTTTTGACCAGTCATTTCACCAATCCCATCGCTTCCAAATCCAACTAATTTTCTTGAGCAGTTTTGACTTGCCAAGCTAAGCTGAAGATTTATTTGAAATGTTTCCTCAATTGCACTTTTTATAGTTGAAGCATCATTGTTTTGAACAGGTTGAACCCCAACAATCTGGCAGTGAACTTTTCCTTCATTTGCAAAGCGCACATAGACAACCACCACTGATTTGAATATACTATCTGTGAATTCATCACTAATAAGAGAAAAGAATTTACAATTCTCCAGTTTCTCTTTTAGAGATATTCTTTCTACTTCAGCCATAAAATGTATAAACATTCTTACTGACTTTTCATTTCTGAATACAGAACCAATGTATGTTCCTTTCGCATCATCTAGTTCACAGATCCAGTCCAAGTCTGTAAAGGGCCAACCAGATTTAGCAATTGCATGGCATGATGTAAAAGTAACTTCCACTCTTCCTATTGTTGTGGAGTTCATACTCTTCAACATCTGCTCAGCAGAAACTGTATTTGGTGAAGCAGTACTGGCAGCTTCCATGCACGTAGCCCAAGCATGAGCTTCACTGTTCTGGTGTATATTTATAAATTCCAGTTTGAAGTCATCAGTGCCAGAACAAAAATTTTGAATGCTTTCCCCCAAGTCCACATTATGCTTGCGACACAATGCACAGAACATTATTCCTCTTTCATCATCATATTTTAACCAGGAGTATTTTGTCAGCCATATTTTTGGAAACTGGCGATTCTTCTTTATTCTTGGATGTTCCAAAGCTTTCTTTTCCTTCCCTCTGTCATCAATTTCTCTCTTGCTAGAAGAATTACTCCTGCCTTTAAATTGCTTCAGTGCTCTTATGGCTATAATTTAGAAAAAAACAACTAGATATAGAATGGTTTTTATTTAATAAATGATTGATTTTACTTTTTATTTTCATTCCATATTTACTTTTTTAATTTGGGAATAGATTGTGACTCTCAAGGTCATAAAAAGAAACAAGTGAAAACAAGATCTTCAACATCACTTGGACAGCTCCCAAGACCTTTCTAAGAAATGTTTTGATTTGAAACAAAAAAGTTTTGATTACAGATTTTTTTTTTTTTTTTTTTTTTTTTGACTAGCATAGATATCTCAATATTTGCAACCAGTAAAATGCAGCAGCATCAAAATCATTACTAAAATAGAGAAAAACTGTCAGGGAACAGAATTCAGAATTGTCTTTTAGGAAAAACATCTTCAGAAGATAATACTGATTTAACAAGCCTGTTACTATACCCATTATGACTAACAGAAAAATTTACTTGGAGCAATTGGAAAAATACATAATCAAACATCTGTCACAGAATGAATAAGGTGCATATTTAAGTGATCTGCTGTTCTTATATATATAGATATAATTATGCTGCTTTGAGAAAGAAGAACTGCATAAGTTTCACTTTTTGTTCTGAAAATTGAGACTCATTCAAAGCACTGAGGTTGTGCTCAACATTGTTTTTCCAAATTGTTATTAAGATGGTCATTCTCATATTTTGTAATTGCATAAGCAAACATTTTTGAAAATTTTCTGTCTGGACCTCATGAATCTTCTACTTTTGGCAGGTAATTTAATAATTCTTTTAACATGTAGTTGCAATAAGGTCATGAATTTGAAAAGAAGGCAGTCACATAATTTGGACTAATTCCAAGTAGAATTGAAGCAATAAAAGTTGAAATCTATTTATTGGGAAAAAACAAAAACAAAAACAAAACAAACAAACAAACAAAAAAAAAGTAAAGCACTGAGGAAATGACCTAATAACAACCTCCCATCCTCCTTGTGGTTTGTACCTCAAGAGGTACAAATAACATTTAATAACTAATAACCAAGACGCAATTAACATTTACATTAAAACAATCATAGAAAGGAAAAAGTCTCCTTGTACCTCATTCTTTTTTATTGTACAAGGGGTAAATTTGCATGTAGGCACTGTAGAATTTCTGAGAACTATTTGTTCCCATTGTATTATAAGCATCCTGAAGTGTCGCAATATTAAATATATACATATTAGGAACATGCAGTTCAGATACATCTCTATTGTGAGCAATTCTTTGAAAGGCAGCAAAGTAATAGAAATAAATACATGTGATATACTTATTGTTCCAAATCTATTAACACAATAAACCTAAACTGAAATGTTTGCAATTAGAAAATAAATTTAAAAAAAAGAAACAAGTGTTACAGTTTGGTCAGCAACTATCTTCTGTGATTGACAAATCTGGAATCACACTGATAAAAATTACTATTCACATCTTAATAGACCATTTCAGATTTTATAAAGGCATTTTAAGCAATTTTTGGATATGAGATATAAAATTCCCTGAAGTTTGACTGAAGATTGTTACAGACAAATAATCTGTTCTCTAATCCAGTATGGATTGCTCACAAAGATTGTTGCTGTGAAAAAAATACACTTTAAAATTCCTTTGTGAAATTCACCTATAAATGGAAGAAAAAAGCCTGGGATAGAAACTATTTTGATTGTATTGTATTATTGACTTGTAAAACATCACCAAAATTGGATTCTATTAAACACCGTTAGCATAATCTTCAGAAATTTCAGATGCATGCTAATAGCAATGACAGTAGATGGGTCATATGAAGAATGTAGTACTAAAGTAAATGTAAGAAGATGATATCTGATGGTTAGTTTAATTTTGTTCATTATAACAGACAGCATGCAAAGAGACTGTAGAAGAAGGAAAAAAAAAATGTGTTAGCAGCTCCATTTCAGACCTGGCACAGGGGAACACTCCGAAGGCAAGATATTAAAGCACTGCTAATAAAATGATCAAAGGAGTTAGTGAGATTAACAAATACTGCTGGGTTACCCTGAACTGCAGCAACACCACTCATAATAATAGAAGAAAATGTTTAAATATTTCCTTATCAAATGAAAAACCACATCAGTAGGTAGGAAGGTCCAGCAAAGGTCACATTTTTTGTCCATCGATGCTTAGAATGCTGAGTAATATGCCTCCATGGAGAACCAAGTGTGCAGGATAGAACAAAGATGTCTATGATGTATCAGCAGCTCTTAAATACTTTGAATTCCTAGGGAACACAAAACTATTTATAATTTTTATAATATTTCCTTTGTTAGTACCTAGTCATTTTAAATTACATTGGTAATTCCATTTTTTTTAAATTGTCAATTTATTATATAATTGAAAATATATCCTTTTGACATTTACCAAATGTCCTGTGAGGAAACTGTATGTTTAGTTCTCCTTATCTAATAATCTTTCCTTTTTACTCTTTGTTTTACTCGGGCATGTAGCTGCTAACACCTTCACTGCCAGTGTGTGGGATACTTCATTGTATTCTCTGTTTTGTTTGAAGGGAGACTGATGACTAAAGAGGCATGTATTTTCTGTTGGGCATTGTATTGAACAAGGGGAGGCAAAAGAATGGAAAGAAATTTTCCCAATTTTCTAAGGGAGCAATGATTTAACACTTCATGTTGTGTTTGGGTAATGAAAAGACCTGGTTGTCTTAGGAAATCTGGGATTCTTGGTGTGAACGATATAGCCTACTAGCAATAAAATCATCATATGAGCTTCTTGATTTTGGAACTTCTAATAATCTTAAAAAAACTTACCTTTCAAACGAGTCCATAAGAAAAATTTTGTTTTGTTTCGTTGTTTCATTGTTTTAGCGAATATAATATGAAAAAGACAATTTTGTAGAAATACTTAATTTTGTATTTTTTGCTAGCTATTACACATGCACAATAAAAATACTCGTTCTCTGTCTCAAAAACATTAAGAGTCTTACAGATTGTATTAGAAAAAAAATAGTATTAGATATTTTAATTAACGAAGAAATTACATGAAAACAGAACAACTCTCTTAAAGTGAATTACCAGTCCAAGCTGGTATCTTATACAGTGTGTTTTACCTCTAGGACACTATCTAATGATTCCAAGTGTACAGACTTTCAGTTTCACATGGCATTACATGTACAACATTGCCTGCTACTTTAACCTCTGCAGAGGATTTTGAAATGCTTATACGCCTACTCTTATACTACAAGCAGAATGATAACTGTTTCTCTACAGAAACTCTAAACAATTTTCTGCTAAACATTTGTTCATTTGAGTGCTTGTTCCATCCTATGGAATTTCTCTATAAATACACGAAATGAAGGATTAAATTCAACTTCATTGTACCTCTGTGGTCTTGCTATATTGAAAGAGTCGAATTCAAAACTATAAGTACAGGTTTACGTGTTCTGTTTCACAGTCTTGCACAAAAGTTACAATTATAATATGGAACACAGTAATAATTAAATCTTCTGTGTATGTGTTTAACTACCTGCTATCTCAGTTTAAAACTGCCTTACTAAATTATTATTATTTTATAATATTTTCACAGTAGTATTAATTTTTGATAGAAAGTATTTTTAAGTGTCCTAAGCCAAAAGTTCCCATAATTAGAGAGTAGGCAAACAATATACTTGCAAAGAAAAATACATATGGGTTAATACTTGCAAATCCCCCTAGACAACTGACAGAAACTGACCTGAAGAATATAATGGTTAACATCTATAATAGATCCTATATAATAATTTCATAAAAATACCAGCTTCTTCAATAGTATGTTTTAAAATAATACCACTTGTTGTTCACTGAGCTCTGAATCAGTAAATGAGTTAAAGACTTGTATTTACAAGGTATGATATGTAACACTCTTAGAAAATCATACTGCATACAGATATGTGCTAGGAGAATCATAGAATCATAGAATTGCTCAGGTTGGAAAAGACCTTAAAGATCATCAAGTCCAACCACAACCTAACCATGCTGCCCTAACTCTAACAGCCCTCCGCTAAATCATGTCCCTGTGCACCACATTCAAATAGTTCTTAAACACAACCGGGGATGGTCGCTAAACCAACTCCCTGGGGAGCCTATTCTAGTGCTTAACAACCCTTTCTGCAAAGAACCCTTTCTTTATAACCAACCTATTAAGAACATAGTCTTGAGAATATAAAAAGCCCATAACAAAGATACTAAAAGATTTCAAGTGGTCCGGTATGTCATATTTTACTATTCTATACAGGGGCTTTCCTTCTAAATATAGCACAATTGTTTATTGTGATATGACCTTTAACAATATAGGTGACTAATGTTCATTACCCCTGGCAGTTACTTTAAATTTCAGTTGCGCAACTAGCAGCTGTTCAGCAGTGAAAAATAAATTTTTATCTTACCTTTTGGTGCCACTTGTAGAAAATGTTTATGAAGTGTGGTAAGTTGTGAAATAGTTAAAGTACTACTTTCAGAAGTCTCTATTAGTGGAACTCGTGGTGGAGGAACAGGGTCAGGAATCAATTTTACATCACTGCTGATGAAGAAATCTGTTTCTTCTAAATTCATTTCATATTGCATTTTGCTAGAACTTTCAATATGGTGCCGTCCTACCTCAATCAGCTTTTCTACACTGCAAAAATATAAATGCAGAAAGCAATTATTTTTCATAGAGGATACTAATAACAGATTCAATTTTTAGCATTTTTAACGTGCTCTGAAGCAATATTTACAAATCCCTTGTGCATTCAGTACTTAGCAAAATTGTTATCAAGTGTATTCTTCCTCTGGTTGCAAGTAGTTTTTAGCCTGATAAGAAATTTATGCTAATGGTAGCTACAGAAGAGATCAGATAGAAAAAAATGAAAGGATGAAACTATTATTAAATTTTAGGGACAGTGCATACATGTTCCATTTGTAATCATCTTTTAGGCTATCTCAATGTCTTGCCCTCTGCTCTGCCAATAAATAAATCCTGGATAGAACACTTTCCAGGGTAGCATTCTGATGGAGCATATGGACTCCTGTTTAAAATGTGATGGCATAGTCATACTGTCCAACACGTGCTGTCTTTGTGTATGTCTTTGGGTATCACTGCTGTTGTCAGGAGAGCCAACAGAACAAGCTAGCACATACAGTTCAGACAGGTTGAGCAACTGCCTGTTAGAGCTTTCACATCCTACATTTCTGTTTCTTGTCTTGGGCCTACCTTGCAGTGTACCTTCTAACACTGTCCAAAGTATGGTTTAAAAGTTAGTACAAGCCGAAAGCACCAAAAACATTTTCCTAAAGGCAAAGTGATACTTTTGAAAGGTATAATGGAGAATGAAATACTTCAGTGATGTGGACATAAACAGATGGCCTAAGGGTCATATAGCAGCCCCAAGTATATTTTAAATACTAGGACAATAAAATATCCAAGGTTAGGATTATTTTTTTCAATCAACCTTGAAATATTTTTGATAAAAGTTACACACAATGGTAATAACAGCAGGTAGAGATTTCCAGCATGTGTATAGCACAGGGGAAAAAAACAAAAACAAAAAACAAAAAACAAAAAACAAAAAAACCCAACTCCCCACACAAAAAATCAACCCACAACCTAAAGTGACAGAACCCACTGAAATGGTGATACTGCTAAAAAGCAAAATATCCAGGTGTCTGCTGATGCTCAAAAATCTGCTAAATCCTTAGTCTGGAAAAGCAAAAGGACTGGTAACATCTGACTATAATAATAGTCAGCAGAACCTGCTAATCATCCAAGAAACACGTCATTACTATTCAGCTATTTAATTTAAAATTAAATTCTAGCACATTAAATGAAATTATTATCTTCTACACACATTTTGCATATTATTTGTTTCTATATAGACATCTTTACCAGCCCTTAATTTAAAAACATATTTCTGTTCAAAACTGGATTTACGTTACCTGGACATTTCTGCCAGGAACCTTGCTCCAAGCCACTTTTCCATATCTTTATAAGCTTCTTCTGCTTTCATTGTTAACTCTTCAACATATGCTAAAGCTTTTTCTTTTATAAGTTTTAGTCGAGTTTTTGTAGCTTTCTCTGTAAAAATATTATTATTATTATAAGTAATAATAATTTTTAATTACATTTTAAATTATTTTTTAAATAATTTTAAGCATCTGAAATTTAACACAATAATCCATATATAGGCAGCAAAATTTTTCTTTAGGTTCTCAGAATTTTGAACTACTTTCAGAATCATCCTAGTTGCATCATGTGTTCTACAAAAATGTGCATTCTATAAGCATAAGAATTCACAAGGTAAAAAATATCTTGATAAAAATGAAGCAGAGCTTCAGGGGATGTTTAAGCATACATGACATAAAAAAAAATGCTACATAGCAATCAGATCTAGAAGATTAATGATGTGAGTGTATCATGATACAGATACATTTTAAATAAAACATTTCTAATCATTATATTTGTTACTCATAATGAAAATATTTTCTTCATCTTTACCCTAGCTTCCAGCTGTTTAAAATCAAGCTCATTGTTGTCTTGATTGTTTGTTTGTTTGTTTCCTGAAGCTTCCTACATATGCCTATTTCACACTCTAATTCTCAGTTTGCATTAGAAAAGAGTTTGTTTAATGAACACTAAGAAAATAATCTCTACCAAAATTATGCTAAGTACTCACATTACATTTTTTAAAACTTTGAGAATTTCAAAATTCAGAATGGGAAGAACTGAGAGTCTCTCACTGAGACTAATACAGAAAATGAGTAAAAGTTACAATGTCAAAAGGGAAAAGGATATCAAGCAGATGAAAAGACAGCTTGGGTAATGCATTGACAGAGACATGGAACAGGCACTGAAAGGCATTAAGAGCCTTAGAAAGGAAGAATAAGAGAAGAGTACCAGAATCTATATATTATTATCAATCTTGAAAATTAGCAAATTCTGTGTTCAACTTTGTTTCAATTAGTGTATTTAGCATTCTATACTGTAGAAGCCTGACTACCACAATACCTAAATTAGGAAGAACGATCAACACCAAATAGAAACATACCCTCATGTTTCAGGGCAGCAAAGTATTCTTGCTGTATTTTAAGTGTTAGTTTTTGTTTCTTCAGTTCTTCAGAGGTTAAAGGAACTGGACTGCCTTCAGCTGCTGAGGCAGTAGAAGAAGGTCCTGCAAAAAAAATAGTCTCCCTCAAAATCTTTGGACTTTGGTGGTAAATTTGTGTCTGCACACAGGCACTCATAAGACATTTTTGAAATGTTACTTTCCATCTTACTTTATATGATCCTTCATGAGCATACAAATACAAGGTTACTGAGACTGCTTCTGTTAATGTAGCAGGAAGATTTCTTCACATATGATCTACATTTGCGAGACGTGCTAAGACTGCATAAAACCACTCCAACATATTCATTTGTTTTAAAAATTAAAAAATTTAAAATAACTCTCTAAAATGTATTTCTGAATGGAATATCATTGCTGAATACAATTGTCTCTGTCGTGAGTCAAAACAGATCGTTTCACCTTAAAATTTACCATTTTATAACAACTTGCATATAAACAAGCTTACTCTGAGTGATAGGTGTTCCTTCTGGAGAAAATCTTGCTTTAACCTACATAGCTATGTATAGATATTATAAAGATATTATTTTATTATGTTGCTTTGAAAGTTGCATGAAATTCCGCATGAAAGATTTCATATCAACTTTCGAAGTTCCATTTTGACCATTATTTCTTAAAAAATAGCAGCAATATCACATATAACTAAAGAAACCCAACAGTCATTTAACAGCTTTTGATTCCTTTATGGCTATCAAATTTTCACACTTTTATATCACATTTAAAATTTCAAGGAAAAAATTAAATGCAAATTAAATGTCAAGGTTATCCCTTTTCATATGATTGTCGTAACTATGTTTCAGTAATTTCAAGCAGTCCTATAACAAAGTCAGTATTTCAAATACCTTTCTTTTTAGTAGGTGATTTGGAGGATTTTTTGGTGTCTTTGGCATCCTTCCCAGTAGACCTGCTTGACATTGTCTGAGAAGATTTCAGATCTTCTTTCACTTGTAGCTGCTTTTCTCCTTCTTCCTTCACTTCTTTTGACTGTACTTCTGCTTTTACCTATATACCATGTTCACACAGTCAAATAAATGTTATCAATACTATGCAATTACTGTTTTAGATAGACTAAATTTACTGCAACTACTTGCTATGACAAACATATATAATTAAGAGATATTTTAAGTAATATATTGATTATGTTATGATTATTTATCAAAAAATAAAATTATACTGAAAAAATTAAACACAATAACAGTAGTTCTAATTCTTGTAACCTCATTAACTTCACTGAAGGGAAAAGTGTGAAATATAAGAATCAGATGTGAAATCTAAGAATGTAAGCTACTATAAGAGTGCAAAAGTCTATGTGTTTTAAAATGACCAAAATGAAAAAAAAAAAACAACCTTGAAACCAACAATCTGAAAAGCAACATGTTGTATTAAATTATGTATAGAAGAGAATGTTAACACAGCTTTTGAAGTTGTGAAAGTTTTGAGTAAAAGTCGCATCCCATGATTAAACATGTCCTTTTCCTATTTCTATTGAGGAATAAGGGAAAAGTTTATCATGGAAAAAGCAAATATATAAAACCAACATTCAAAGTATTTGATAGGGTTAGAATGAAAATACAAAGGCACTGCAGATCTGATAATATACAGGTCTTAACACCATTCATACAGAAATGCAAATATTTTCAATGGAAATATAGTGGATGACGTTAATTTGAGGCATAACCACTGCTAGTTGAAAACTCCTCTGTGATTCAGCATTAGATGTGAAACTAACATACACATTGTAATGCATGCTGAATGGAAGGCCTTTACTGTTTTATCCATAGATATCTATTTAAATAAAACAGTCCCTACCATATCTGATACTGCTGTTACTGCTGTTTGCCATATATCAGAAATAACATTTTCATCTTTCCCAAAAGCAACCACTACATTTTCAGAAGAATTCTCATCCTTAACACTCTTCAGTAGAGTTCCCTTGCTTCTTGATTTGGTAATATTTGTTTCTGGTGAAGGCAGGTTATAAGGAACTAGAGGAATTCTGAAAAATAAAATACAAGGCTTAAATCACATCCCCCTTTCATAAAGAGGTAATTTGTTACAACATTAGAAAACATGTCAAGACAATGAGAATGCTATTTGCAAAATTTGCTGTAGTAACAGAAAAAGGACGGACTTAAGACCAAAAGAGGTAAAACATGTGGATGACAGGAAAGTTGGCTAGTTTAAAGACAGAAGATAAGGAGATAAATAGATGGATAAAACTAAGTCAAATGACTGTGTGATTTGATGATATATTCCAAATGAGCTAGAAGCATAACCTCATTACTTTCTAAATGAACTGTAAGTAATTACAAAAGGTTTTACTGTTGATGGAATTTTTGATATTCTGAAATTAAGAGTATCCCTTACTTTTAATATAGAACTACTGTTCCTAGGATGTTCTGATTTACATTTGTTGTTACTTAAGTAATTTAATTATGTTCATTTGTGCAAATTTAAAGCCTATTGATGTTATAAAATAATACTAGCTTAGTTTTGTGATAACTATGCTGAAAGCCATCAGCAGTACTGAGTAAAGTAGGAAATATTCCTATAGCAAATTTCTTTCTAAGGCAGCTTTCAAAATGCTTTATAATTCAGAGATGTACTAGTGAAAATGATTAGGGTTAATCAGTCAAAATTTAAGAATAAATGAATCCTATAAGATGATACAAGATCAGTTATTTAACTATAATTACTATTTAAACAATCTTATTTCCCCATTCTTTGAAATATGCCCACATTTATTTCCACATATACCCACAAAGCCATGAGTGCATTATAATTGTTGATATTTGTACAATTAATAGTGTATTTCTACCTTCTTGATTCATTCTGATCTTCTTTCTGCTCTTTATCGACAATATCTAGCAATGGGAGTCTAGTAAAACCTTGTCTGTCTTCTGTTGGGATTTTTCCTTCCATTGCTCTGTAGTAGTCATGAAGAAGTCTCTTTGTATCTTGAAAACGATCCACTTCAACCTCAATAAGAAAAGAGAAAGACTGAAATTCAAAACAAGTTCTATTACATTTTTAAATACATAGTGGCAAAAGCAATTACAAATAGTAAGAGTAATGGGGAAAACAATGAACAACTACATTTGTTTGAATTTTTATACTGTATTTAATGTATACTTTTACTCACATCAATGTCTACAAATTTAGTTTCTTAATTTTCACACAAGAATTTCCAACAGTAATAAAAATCTCATTAGAATAGGAAAATTATTTGCAATAAATAATGTTTAACACATTAAATTTAAATATATTTGGATTTATATTTATTTCTATACTAACAAGTATATACAAGTACAAAAAAATTACAGAAATTGCTTCATTTGAAATAATCAAAATCCTTGTTAACATTAAAAAAAGAGTTAACTCATAAAAAGAGTTAAATGATGGAAAAAACAGTGTAAAAGGTCATACAGTTTATCCTTGTCAAAGAGATCAACAGGTTTTATGAGCTAAGTATCTTGAAGATCTTTTTCTGCAAATTCTCTCAGGAGAAATCAAGTAAGATTCAAAAAACATTTAACACCTGTCATGTTTTGATTTATTGATACAGACAAATGTTAGCTTCTAACTGCCAAAACAGTACAAAATATTCATGGGAAAATGCACAAAACCACATTCACAAAACAAAGAATAAAACCTTTGTGGTATAAAGCAGCTCTTATCCATAAGCAAAGAAGAAAATATCTTCTATTACAGTGCACAGAGAAAGGTGGAGAGTAATCTGATTTAACCTTACTAAAGTTAAGATGTTCTTAAGTAGAATTTACACAAATCCATTGTTTATACAGTAACAGAACCACGTGGGGGATACATTTAACTTCCCACATAAGGAGATCTCAAGACCAAGGAAGTCTATTTCTGACCGTTTCTCAAACAAAACCATAACGTATAGTTTACATTTTTAGTTTTGCATTTTCAGCATTAATTATTCATTTAATTATTTAATTTGGGGAACTATGGTGTACTGTTATGAAAATAAAAAAGTAGGGGCCTTTTAGGGAGGGAAAACATAACTACTATGTATTTTTAACACATTAGTCATCTCAAATGGCTTTTCTGCCACTGTGATGTTATTTTACTTTCACTTACTTATTCATATGTTAAGATAAAGTTTTTAAATAGACAATCATATAAATTACAGGATAGTAAGGATATATAGTAAAACAATACACCCTATTGTTTTAGTCTTTATTTATGGCATTATTTAGGCTCTTTTAAAATAGAGTTAATAATTTCCATGCTATTGCAGATGAATATATCAGAAATTTTATTCAGATTACTCCAACACGCATCTGAGATAAAAAAGTGGTTCCCTTGATTGTTAAGCCAGAAGTGGTTAGGCCTGATTTTTCAACCAAATTAGCATAGCATGGCATGTATTTAAAACACTTTTTTCATTGCCTTTTTTAAAGTTGCCCAAACCTTCACAACAAGGTCACTCCATTTACAGACAAGCTTGTCCATTCCACCCCTAAGTCCACCCCTAAGACGCAGTCACAGAAAAATAAATCTTACTTTACTTCAAGAACTGAAGTAATTCATGGTCTCGCTGAATGAGAGGAAAGGCGTAATGTGAGGAAGGAAAGATCTAACAAAGTGAAGATGATTTCATTAAAAACTTGTGAAAGATTTGAATGAATTTTCTCAAGGAAAACAAACATGATTTTCTCCAAAAAACTCCTTGCAACTTTTTTTTTAGACTGTAGGTAAAATTTCAAGTTACAACTGATAGAATTTTTTGATTTGGGAAATACAAGACAACCTTAACAGTAGGGAGGTCTACAACAGCAGTAAATTTTGTAATCCATAAAACGGATATGATGTAAATACGATTATGGATGTATAAACAGTTCTAACATCTCTGTTACAAATCTCAAAACATTCACTGGACTGATAAAACTCAAAAAGCAGCAATACACATCACAGATTGAAAATGCTTGACAGTGGACAACAGAAATTGTATTTTTCTTAAAGTTTTTTGCCTATTAAATGGTTAAACATGATGAATGCCATCTAATGCTATCCTGGTCTTTAGACTAAATATCTCTAGGCTTTCTAGGCAGAGTTAGAAGCAGCATGAACATTTGCTCATCTAATTCTTGATTCCTAACATATTCAGAGCCAAATGCGTGAAACTCCTCTGAGGCTTACTGTCTTTCAATTCCAATTCATTGTCTCCTTCAATTGCAAAATCCATAGTAGAGCTCTGTACCTTACCTGCATAAGTGAAAAAAAATGATTTATTGCAATCCCCTTATGATCTCGCAACCAGCCATCATTCATGATATCAGTACGTTCCTGCTCTGCTTCTTCCCTTCTTTTATCACAGATATCCCAGAGAAGATCCCTTAAATCCTAAAATAAAAAACAAAATATGAGAAATAACTATGAAAAAACTGTAAATACATTTTTTTTTTACTATTAGAAACTATATTTTTGCCTGTGCATGAGACACACACTCATTTATTGTAGGCGTTGTTTTTTCTAAATTGTTATAAATGTCAAAGCCTGCTCCAAAACTTCTATGATTACAGACAGATGACAGAAAACAGCTTTACAAATGAATCTGACAAAATAATCCAGAGGTCTATGATAAATATAGAGGACAGTTAGGCTTTTCCCAGGCAGAGAGCTATCGAAGCTAGACATAGAATTAGAACACAAATTGCTAAGCTCATAACAGTGTCAGCGACCTTCCACTTAAATGGTTTGATAATAAACGCAAACATAAAGAGAAAGGGGATATGCAATACAAACAATTCTGAGAAATTAAGTCATAGTTTAAACATTATTCTATTTACAAGGCTCCATTCCATTTTTTGCTTTAACATGGATAGTGCTTCATAGGCCCTATTGTTTCTTCTTCAATTTACTTACAGTCAGTCTTTGGTGTAGTTCTGCTTTTGTTTCTTCATCTTCCCTCAGGTCATCAGAAACTGAATTAAAATCTGATTGCCACTGGGATACAAACTCCTGCTTATGATCTGGATGTTTTAAATAATCTTGGAAATTTTTTCTGTAAATTATGGCAAAAATAATGTTACAAAACAATGGCAGAGGAAAAATATAAAATATGGATATTGAAATACTAAGCTATTTCTACTCACCTAATATCTGCTAAATAATGTATCATGGAGTACTGTTCATCCCTTAGACATCTAAGTACAGTTTTGATGGTATTCACATACACATTTTCTACCATTTCCCAGTAAGGTACTAAAAAATCAGGTATCTCCTGTGAATATTTTAAAAAACATCAAAATCAATACATTTCTTGGCAACTCATTTAGATATATCATTAACAAATAACAGATTATTTCATAATATCATACTACTGAGTACTGACTTCTTTCATTTATTTTGTTTTGGAATCATCAACAACTTATTATAAAATTATCCAGCAGAAAGTTACCCTGTGCATTTCTTTGAAAAAAAATGTGGCAGTATTCAAGATGAATAGGAAGTTCCCCAAAAACACTGCTGATATCAGTGTTTTTCGATACATTCATAAATTCAGAAAGTTGTTAGGCAGTACACGACTGTTTAAACTAGTAGAAATTAAGAGTGACTGTTGAGTGTTTCAAAAGCAACATTTTACTGACTGACTGTCAAAAAATGCCAAAGAAATGCATGACAAGTAGAAAGGCAACAAGATGAGTTGCAGACTTTAATCACTCAGAAGGTGATTCACAGAATATGCCAGTTAACTGCAGTCATAAAGTCAAAACTGGAAAACATAAGGAACAGAATACAGAACAAAATACAAAGCATCATTAAGAATCCTTCAAATCTGTATCTCAGTTACTGCATGCAGACCCATATCCCCACTCAAAAGAATAAAGTTAAAAAATTAGTAAAGCTAGAACAGACAGACCAAAAGGCAAAAATCATGACTGAATATATTGAATCATTTCTGCATGAGTAAACATTATGTCTTGATTTGAAAAGCATCGCAGAGGCAAAATGAAGAAGGAGTATGTGATAGATGCCTGTAAAATCACAAATAATTTCACAGAGTGAATACAGAATTACTATTCATTGAATCACACAATACAAGAACTTAGGGTCATCCAGTAAACCAAGTAAAATAGATTTAAAGCAAAGTGTTATTTCTTTTCTCTTCATAAAAAGCATAATTATACAGGCTACATGTCAACAGTTTATGGGTTGGTTTGGCCCCTTTCTGTGACTTGCAGGGTGAAGGGATTCACGAATCCACACTTCTGGAAAGGGAAATAGGGGACTCCAAATTATTAAAAACAATGACAAATTATTAAAAACAATGAGGAGAAACAAACTAATTTTCTAAATATGGTATATCAGAATGTAAGATAACACATTATAATACAATATACTACGATATAAGTAGAATTGAAGCTAATAAATAAATTATAATGAGAGAGGGAGTCCAAAAGGTGGAAAGGTCTTGCTATAACACTGAGGTGAGATGCACAGTCGGGTCAAGCAGCAGGGAGGAGAGCTGAAAAAAAAGGGAGGTCTTGTGACCTTGCCAGAGGTGATATCTCCTCTCTAAATGCAAGGTGTTCTGGGGTATGCAGTTCTTCTTCTCTTCCAGACAGGTGTCTGGAATTGGAGCATTAACTCTTTAACGCCCAGTGCCATGTGATATTATCATGTGGAACACTGATAACCAAAAATCATAAAACCACTAAATAATCACATAAAAAGACTATACTGCAGAGACTATGAAGTAAATTGCTTCCAAAAAAAGAGAAAAGACAATCATGGAAAAAAATACTGTTGAGATTTACTGAATACAAAGATGTACCTATAAACTTATATTGGGAATCCCATACATTACTAGCAGATAAAAAGATGTCCTGGAGAGTGTTAGAGGAAAGTATCCTAGGAGAAATATCAGTGCACACTCTTGCCATTCTTACATTCTTTCTGCAGGACCAGTGCCCAGCCACTGCCAAAGGCAAGAACCTGAGTAGATGGGTCATGAAACCTGAGTAGATGGGTCATGACATGACTCCAGGAAGCTTGTTTTGGCCTTTGTGCACTGTTCTTCAACATCACTGTGAAGAACTTAGCAAAAGGCAATGAGCAAAATTTTCAAGTGTATTTCTTTCTTATATATTTTGGTACGAAAAAGTATTCGTACTTCTAGTACAAATACACAGCACTAGTGTACTTTTCACTGTAAAATATTTAAGAAAATAATGTGCTGAGAAAAAAAGTTTAGGTAGAATATGCATAAAAAATAAAGGCAAATATATACTTTGACATCTAAGACTTTTAACCCTGAAGGTACCTTGGGAAGTGGCTCATCTACATAAATCCATTCACCCGTTCCTGGCTTAATCAGTAGTGGTGTCACAGGAATAGGAGAAAGCAGATCTTGAGGTTTAACTGGCAAAGCTTTTTCGTCTGGTGATTTTTCTCGGACAGACCCTTGTGTATGAACATACAATTAGTACCTCCATAAGTATTTTAAGTATCAGTAAACAGAAATAGATATTTATGCTAATCTGACAAATTCAGACTAACATAAAGATTCAGAATCTCATCATTTGTGTATTTTTCATAAGAACATATGCTGAGCAATTACGTGATGCCATAGTTTTTAGAAATCTGTTTCCAGTTAGATTGTATTTTGCAGGATTGCTACTTTTCCAAAACCATCTCTGTGAGAGAAACAGTAACATAGTGAATTAGTATGATTATGCAAAGCATTCTTTACCAGGTAAAGCAAAGTCATTGGTGTTGATACAATTCTTTGATTCATTAAAACTATCATGATTTCAAGGACACTGCTTAATTAAGGAACAGTTGTAAGCATGGTTTCCATGTGAGATTGAGAAAGAATAATGTGGTGAAGGCCACATCAAGTCTTTCTTCTAATAACTCTGAAGAAAAGAGTTATTAAAAATCTAATCCTTGTTTACTGGATACAACTTTTTCTTTGGAATTCATCTTTTTCCCTTCTTTTTAAATGATTCTGTTGTATAGGGTTGTATGTACATATGTTAATTGCATGGATTAAGAAGAAACATGCAATAAGATACACCAAAAGAGGCAAATACGGCGCACTGAGTTATCCATGTTTTTACATTTCTGATAAATGAGTATATGTTTATAATGGCAAATTATCCTTCTTTTGTCATTATGCTATCCCACACAGTGTTGATGCTAGCTGTAATATTTAAATCTGGAAGAAATGACTGAATTTAGTAATTCTTCAGTGAATTTAAATATATCCAACTGACAGTTTATTTTAAATATTTTGAAATCTTTTCTCAAATTATCTTTATAGCTATGTGAAACTGGTCCATATCTTGTGAAATGTAAAAAACACGACAGAAAATTTCAAAATTCCAGTGCAGTTATCAATAACTCATAAATCCCTGAAGCCTTGTAGGTATGGTGAAAATGCTAGTTTTTCCACATAGTTTTATATTTTAATGATTAGTGTTATCCATCAAAAACAATCTTTTCTTAGTGAACCGTAAGAAGTAGAAAGGGAAAAACTTACTTTTATTCTGCTTTTTGTCAATTTCTTCAATCAGAATTTCCTTTACAGTTTTGCACACAATACTTTCTTCTGTCTCTGCATTGACCTTCACTAGAGTGTTTTGATGGTCTGAAAACCAGTTCTCTAATTCCGGCCATGTGTCTAGGAAGCCTGAAATTCTGCAAAAGTCATATTGATGTATACCTCTAAAATAGAATAATTGAAATAACTACAGGAAAATATTTTCCCATAAACAAAGGAAAGATCACAATATCTAACCTAAATACTGAATACTATACAATACTAAAGCAAATCTAGGCAGTACTTTTGAAGATATTTAAATTTTCAACGACATAAACCCCCTCAGAGTAAGAAAATAGCTCTTACTCTTTCATATCAGAAGTTAAGCCTATGTTTTCTTGCATCATGACTAAAATAATTATAACCAATAATATAATAGTCTAAACTAGTTAATATCATCAAATATTCAAAAGCAACTGTGAGCTCATGTGGCCAAGAAGGCCGATGGCATCCTGGCTTGTATCAGAAATGGAGAGGTGAGCAGGACTAGATCCTGCCCCTGTACTCGGCATTGGTGAGGCCTCACCTCAAGTACTGTGTTCAGTTTTGGGAATCTCAGTACAGAAAAGACATTGAGGTGCTGGAGCAGGTCCAGAGAAGGACAACAAGGCTTGTGAAGGGCTTGAGAATATGTGTATGAGGAGAGACTGATGGAACAGGGGGTGTTTCGCCTGGGGAAAAGGAGGCTGAGGGGAGACCTTATTGCTCAATTCCAATATCTGAAAGGTACTTACAGAGAGAGCAGGGTTGGTGTCTTGTCACTAGTGACAGATTACAGGACAAGGGGAAATGGCCGCAAGTTGTGCCAGGATGGTTTAGGTTGAATATCAGGAAAACCTTCTTTACAGAAAGGGTTGTTAAGCACTGGAATAGGCTCCCCAGGGAAGTGGTTGAGTCACCATCCCTGGATGTGTTTAAAAACTGTTTGGATGTGGTGCTCAGGGACATGATTTAGCAGGGGGTTGATAGTTAGACTAGTATGGTTAGGTTGGGTTGGACTCAATGATCTTTAAGGTGTTTTCCAGCCTGAATGATTTATGATTCTACGACTCTATGATTTAAAAGCTAAAGTTGCTGCTCTTGATTTTCCTCTACATGCAAAATTTAATAATAGCATTATAATTTTTTTTTAACCTAATGATAGAATAAAATATAGAAAACCATGAGAGGTTCTCTGAAGTACATACATATATACATACATATATACATATTTTATTTTTTCAATTCATACCTGGAAAAGAAATTTTCCTTGACAAAATACCTTGGAAAAGCAAAACATAAGAATTCCTAATTTCTAAGATTATTTACATTGCACCAAAAATCTAAGCACCTCTTAGACTTCAGTCAGAGAAATTCTTAAGTAAGATCTTAACATAAGGCACTCATAGTGCAATCGTAGATCACATAAGAGCTTCAGATTAATTATATGCCTAATAATGTGGCCGAAGTAACTTCATTGTACTTAATATAACATACCTATGCAGCACCTGGTCCCTTGCTAAGTCAGTCATCTCTTCTACGATTTTAACATCTGAATTTTGACCGTTGTCCTGCTGTTCAGTTTGAGAGGACTTTGATTTATCTGCTGAGGAAAACAGCATAAATGAACATATGTTGAAAAGGTAGCTACAGGACCTAAATAAGATAACTACGTTAAAAGAAAGCTTTTAGATTTCCTTGATGTTACATCTCTTCCCTTAAAAATTTAAAAGCTTTCTCAAAGAAAGGAAAGGACAGAAATAAATCAGAGAATTACTAAATAGAGCTGGGTAAGAATTCGGAGACTTCTGTTTGAATGCAAAGTCAATTATAACAATACATTTCCCAACAGATACTTTGCAGTCATAGAAAGCTGTAGTTGTAGAGATGTGATGGGTGGACAGTTTCAGGCATATATATTCTTACAGTTTGAAGGCTTTCCTGTTTTTTTTTTCCAGTCTAACCTGAATCTTTCTTTTAGTAACTGCTCATTTCCAGAATGGATAGATTTATTACTGTATCTGAAGAAAAAGTATCCTCTATCTCAGAGACTTCTCAAAATTAAAAAAAAAAAAAACCACTTTAATCTATTAGAAATAAATTTTTATAGATTTCTGATGTGGTTTTTTTTGTTTGTTTCTATGACTTTTTCTATGACCATGGGACATCTTAAGAAACAATATCTTTTTTGGATTCCTGAGACTGTATCATGTAGTATCACATCTTAAAGATGTTTTGGCACAAAATGTCTTAAAACTAACATGAATATCACTGCTAATACATACATCTTGATGGTATAGTTAGCAAAACCTCCAACAATTTGCATCATTCTCATTTCCGCCAACATATAAAAGCAAAACAATGTTCAGCTCAAGCCATGTGCTATGTAAGTGCTGCAGTGAAAACAATGAAGAGTAACCCCCTTATAATCTAGACAATATGGTAAATATTTGTGAAAACAACTTGTATTTTGCCAAGATGAGTGAGAGCAATGAAAAATAAGTAGTCCAGAAATAAAACAGCTTTCAAAAACCCTTTGTTGCTTTTGCCATTTTTGTCCAAAATCAACTATTTTTTGCTTGTTCATTGACTAAGACAAGACAAAGGCAATAATCAATGGCGAATGAATGTTGGCATTTCTGAGCAAATTAAAAGCACATCCCTTTATTTACTCTTCCTAATGTCTCTTTCCAAATGTATCCACTGGAGAAAAACACTAATTAGACATGCTCATTTGGAATGAGTAATATTTCTGCAGCTGCTGTAAGTTACACTTTTCCCAACTGTTTCTTCATATGATAGTTAACATTAACCACTGTGCTACTCTGGCTTCAGTGAAATTTCAGGACGAAAAAACCCACACACATGAACTTGCACTTATAATCTGCCTTTGACTGAAACAAACATAAGTATTCAGGATAACTTGGAAGCACTCAGGATGATATTTCAAAATGAATAGATGAGATTACATGAGGTAAAAAGAATGCTATTTTGTTTGAAAAATGCTATTTTGTTTGAATTAGCATAATGTAAGGTTAAAATTGTTAAGTACAAATAAAACCTGAAATAATGCTTGCGATTAATGTGTTGCTTATATTCAGTCATACATCTTTAGACAAGCGAACAAAGGTAAAAGAGGTCTTACAAATAAGAGTAAAAAAAAAATCTAACTTCATAATTATAAAAAAATACAAATATTAGTAGTTTAAATTAAAATACACAAATTGCTACCATATTGCAAAGTACTCACATTTCAGAAGTTTCCATATTTATAACAATTTTCATATTCCCCTTACATAAAAATGTGCTTGTCATTTGACATCGTTTAAATGTAGATAGAAACTTACGTTTCAAGCTAGCCAATCGTTTCAATACTGTGGTGTCTGAAATATCCAATAATACAGAAACATCAAATGCAGGTAAGGCAACAGGAGGCTCGTTAGGAGTTCTAGGATTTGTAACAAGTGAGAGCTTTCCACAGTTCACATATTTTGCTTCCGTTTCATCTGAATCAATCCCTGTACAGGCTTTTTCAAATAGCCTTGCCTGATTAATCGTCATTGGAAATCCATCCAGAATCCATCCCTTCTCTGGTGGTGTGTGGCTAAAAGTAAATGAAAAATGACATTTGCAGAGAAAAACTGATAGCATAAAATTAACACCGAAGGAAGAGCTTGTCCTAGTAGTTTATTCTGAATGACAGCATCATGATCAAAATAGCAAAACAATGAACTTTATGGCAGAAATCGCATGAAAAGGAGCTAAAAATGATAAACAGAACAATATTTGCTTCTTGATAGTTTTCAAAAACAATCTTTATAGAGCTGTACTGTGATCAGAGACATAATTTCATTGCTTTCAAAAAGAGCCAACTTCTGCACTGAAAAAAAAGGTAGTAAAAACTGTTTTATAACATTAAAGTACAAATGGGAGTAAATATAACTTAAACGACATCCGGGCGAGAATTTAAGAGCTAATTGCATATGAGCATATTTGAGATAATTTTCTGTAATGCAAGAAGAGAAAAGAACAAATAATTGTTGAAATATGAATGTTTGTATTATGTATCTCACATTAAATCTAGAGGAAAAAATACTAGCACATTCTGAATAGTTGAAAACTGATAAATAAAATATAGACATTACTTACATCTAATGACTATGTGATAGTTGTTTATTTTTTTACTTACTGCAATGGTGTACACTAATGCTTTTAAAATATAGGGCTGGACTCTATTTCTTTCAAATGAGCATTAAATCACTGATCAGTCCCACTTTCCCATAGCACACTCCAATTTTCCACTAATGTACTGACTAAAGAGAAATGGCTGAATCTGGTCCTTAAAAATTGATAATTACATTCCAAGTAATTAAGGGGGAGAAAAGCTACATAATTTCATACTTAATGGCTTCCAATAGGATGTCAACTAGTAATTCATCAGGGATACTTTTTCCTTTCTTCAGCAATTTCTGTGATGCAGCGCCAAGCTGGGCACGTACAGATAGCTGTGGAGGAGTGCAAAGCAGTTAAAAGAACATGTAAGAACAAAAAGCTCAGATGTTGACAACACTCACAGTTAAAATGAACATCACTATGTGATGGCTGCTCTGAAAGTAATGCTTCCTATTTTGCTGTGCTGGCCCATGACATCAGAAGCAGATAGTGGTGGTATGGCAATAGAATAGGAACCTTCTCACCAGCATTTCAATTACATTTTGTTTGCATGTGACAGATGGCAGCAGAGGGACACACTGACAAAATGGTGCCTTGACATGGAAGGAAAGGCATGTGAAGCAAAGGTATGGAATTGAATCCTCCACGTGGAAAAAATTGGCACCCACTGACATTCATTGATGCTTGCTGAAAATTTATGGAGACCAAACAGTGTACACAAGCACAGCAAGGTAGTGGGTGGGTGTTTCAGCAGTGGCAAAAGTGTTAGTGTTTCACCATAACTGGTGCAGACTTTTCTGAGCATGGCATGCAGGCTCTTGTTCACTGCTGATGAAAATGTATACCTAATGGTGGTGGCTATTCATAAAAATAGTGTTCTGTAGCTCAGAATTTGCTCTATCAGTTAGTTGTTCTTTGTATCTATTATAGTTTCTACAGAAATAAATAGGAGGCGTAACTTTTGGAGCAACATGTATACTTTACTTCTGCATTCCTTGATTATATTTAGTCTTGATTGTGTTATTTATTTATTTTTAATGTTTATTGTACGATCTACCTACCAGATATAGTTTTAACTGATGTTAAAGAGGCCTCATTCAACTGAAAAGTTGAACTGAATGTCATAACACACAAGAAAATGACAGACAGACAGAAATAAGATTGAAAAGCAAAAGATATTGAAAACCAGAAAAAACAAACAAACAAACAAACAAACAATAGCCTTTGTCCTAATGTTCTGATTTTCACTACTCTAAACTCGGTGATGGTTTGATTTCTGATAGCTTAAGAAAATGCTAGAAGTTTTCTGTAGCAATATTTAACATCAATGTTTATATAGGTATCTTACTTGCTTTTTAAGTACATTTCAGCAAGAAAAATAAAGTTGAGAGAACTGTAGAATTAATTATTTTTGAATGTAAAGAAAAGAAACCTTGCGATGGGTTGAAATATTTGCGTGGCACCAGCAACATTCAGATCACATTTCTGCTAATTCAGAAATTATATAGAAAGTACCTTATCTTACATAACTGTGAGATCAAACAGAACGACACTTACATAGAATTCTAGCTGTAGGTGTAACTCTAACCAATATACAAGGAAATAGATTTTTACAAAATCTCTTTCGATATTTCTCACTGAAAATACTTGCAATCAGGTCAGTAAATAAAGGCAAAACGTGACAGTGTATCACCACTCTGTTGTTTGATACGATTCTGAATAATCTATCTTTATATTGTAGTAGTTAAAATGGACTACAAACCTCAGATATGTCATTCTCTTTGTGGTCTGATAGAATTTCCTGATCGGACGGATGCTTTTTGACAGAACAGTTACCTAAAATAGGTACATTTGAAAGTTTAACAATTCCACATCTGTAATATTTCTTACTATAGCTAAATAATAAAAATACATGTCTTATTATTGTCCTATGACCAAATTAAAACAAAAGGTATTTGCAATTATTAGTATGATAGGATCACTGAAAAATTCCAGTTGCAAGCAACCTCTAAAGATCAATTCAATTTTACGGTTAAAGCAGCTGGAATGTCAGATCACATTACTCAAGGCTTTACCAGTCTCAAAAACCTCCAGTGACAGAAAGTACCACTAAAGACAATCAGTTTCAATGCTCTCATGGGAAAAAGACATTTTCTTGCACATGGTCAAAACCAGAACCTTTATAGGTATCTCCACAGCAAAATGAAGACCAGTGGAAACACGAGCTTGCTGCTGACTGGAGCACGGGACAGAGATACTTAATGTCTTCTCTCTCTTGGTCTCTACAAGTACAACCTGCCTTCAGGAATCTCAGGCTCCTGAGACTAGCAAGGAAGTCTAGAGGCCAATTGCTTTGCAAGCAACTTTGCAGAGAAGATCTTTGAGGACAAGATTATTCTGAGCCAGAGACTCATCTTTGCATTAAAAAAGGTCAGAAGCATCCTGGAATACATGAAACACAGCATCGTCACCAGGAGATCGTACTTTCCCTATACTCAGCCTCAGTGAGACCATATCTAGAATGCTGTGTCCAGTTCTAGGCTCTCCAGAGGCAAGAAAGACCTGGATACATTGCAGCAGATCCAGAAAAAGATCATAACAATTATTAAGATGTTAGAACATCTGATACACAGGGAGAGGCTGAGAGCTGGAATTCAGCCCAGGAAAAGAAATCCTGAGTGGGAACTTGTAAAGTGGAGTAAAGCTGGAGCCACAATCATCTCAATGATGCCAAGTGAAAAAGGGACAAGAGACAATGGAAACAAACTGAAACACACTGAATTCTATTTGAATGATAAAATATGAACTATATGAGCTATAGAAAATTGGAATAAGTCACCACCCAGTAAGATTGTGGAGTTCCCATCCTAGGTGAAGTTTAACTCCCAAGTGAACACAGTGCTAAACAATATATAATACTGAACCTTCCTTGAAAAGTATTGGACTAGATGACCTTCAGAAGTTCCTTCCACCCCCAACCATTCTGTGATTCTGAGTTTAGTAGCTGAGCCCAATATCAGTTCCTTTGTTGTTAAGAGCTATTGTAAAGAAAGGTAAAGTGAGGGAAACAGAGGGCTTGCCTCACATTCCTTTGGAAGGTGCTTTCAGAATGAAGATTTCAACCTAGACACTGTCTGTGGTGCATTATAGGAGCGCAGCACCCATGTTAGCACTTCTGATTCTGATCCACATCTGCTGGCTTGACTTTCTCGCTCAATCTCACATTTACTGCATCAGTACATTTATCATCAGACTGAGGCTTATGCTGGTCAATGTCTCTGAATCTTACTCTTTAGTCAATATGTTCACTCCTTACTGATGAGGTGTTGGCTCTGCCAGACTTATTATTGGCATCATCTCCTGGCTCACTTTCCTGTGTGGAGCAGTTTGCACTTGCTTCTCCCAAACAGTGGGAATGCACAGAAACACAAAATTCATAATGGCAACTATTCTGAAAACTCAGATGTCATGGATTCTACATGAAGTCGACAGGAGAAAGTGGAATTGTAGTTTAAATTTAATAAGAATCAAATTATATGAAATTTAATTTAAATTTGTATATGCACACACACAAATACCTCCAGTTCCATTAGCAGATGTTCTTGTTAAAAATGTCATTGATGATGCTGAGAAGTTCCTCTGAACCTTTTGTCAGTTAAGAAAATAAATAGATTAGAAAAAAAAATACACAATACAGGAAAACAAATCTGTCAGTTGAAGATGAACCTTGAAGTCTGTTAAGAAAAAACAGAATTCTAAGTCTGAAATTGAGTAAGAAATTGAAACAATGTACTTTTTTTCCTTATACACTCACTTTTCCCTGAGACAGCCAAAGCCAAAATTAACAAGAATGCTTACCTTGTTTTGTTTTGCAGAGCTCTCTGCTTCCTGTGAAATCAAGTTGTATTCAGTTTTCATTTCATTATTAAGAAAAGCTTGGATGGCCTCCTGAACCAGAGTATCAACAGACAGTACCTGAATATTGCAAACTAATATATACAAAAATTAGATAGCTTTATAGTTTGAGCTGAGCATACATGAAGAGAGACTATTAATGAAATTAAATCAGTAATTGGAGGAGAGTATCATTATATGTGAAGGAATGCACAATTCCTTTTGTTTGGACTTTTCATATAAGTTGTTTCCACTGTCTCTTCTCTGTAACCATTGCATTCACAATCTTATATATATCTGCTAGTCTCTTCAATCACAAACATTTTCAGAGAAATCAAAAGCATTTTTAAATCCTCAAGAAATACAGAAGAAATATTATAACAACATTATATGAGAGGTCAGCTGTTTTTAATCTTATTCTAAAAGATAATGAATGAATAACTTGAAAGGAACCTCAGTAAAATACAGTTGCATGTGAGGTTCAAGGATTAGTAATGAAAGGATTTGCAAAAACAAACTTTATTGTAAGAGTCAACTTTAAGAGCTTTCAGATGAAAAGCTAAACAAAACTCTACCTTTTTCAAGAAAATTTACACAGGTAGTTTTTCCACTAAAAGGTTTTCCCAGAATACATCCCTTGATGTGAAACGGAGGAATTATAGGCAGTGAAGATCTGGGTTTTGAAGGATAGAAAATCTCCATCAGTCTATGAAGCACATGACCCAATATGTTGTTATTAAGAGGAGATATGTTTTTTCTGTTCTCATCAGCTGGACACCATTCCCCTGTCATACTCTGTGCAAATAAATTATCAAGCAGTTAGGCAATATGTATTGTATTTCATCTTACTACACATATGTAATTATATAATGTCATATAATAACCAAATCTGAACAGTACTAATATTAAAATATTTTTACATTACAGTCTCGTTAAAAGATGTGATTTTCATAATCATTAAGATTTACTGCTATTCACTAAGACCTAGATGACAGACAAAAACTCCTACAATCGTTTTTACGAAATCTAGAATAATTCTTTAAAATCCCACAAACATGAAAAGTTATCTCACTAATACTACAGAATGAATCAGCTATAACTTTTTGGAACATAAACCCATTATCCTAGCATTCAGCACTCCTATGATGGGGCAGTATTATTGCCCAGTATAGCACGCACATCTTTGAAAATTTGTACAAAGATTTAAAATACATTTATCTCCCTAACACACATTCAGTAGTGACAACAAAACAAAACAATACCCAACAAGACAAAATCACAAAAACCTTAAAAGAAATACTAGAAGCTTCTGGTTGAGTTAAAAGCATACAGCTTTTCCTTACAATTGTAGCTGCAGAAAGATGATAATAAAAGCTTGTAGTCAGAAAAATTTAACACATCTTTTGCCACTGGATTATTGCATCCTATACCACTAGGAAAGTACTATGAAGGACATGTGCTGGTTATGCTGTAATAAGAGCCTCTTAGTATGCAGGAAAATACTAGTTCCGTTTCAGTTATTCTTAAATGGCACATCTGTAGATTGCTGTTTGCTAGATACATGGGTTATTACCACTCCCAATTAGATTCTTTTATTCATTTAGGTGTACTTCATTATACAATAACAAATATTGTAAATATTTGTAAATTGTAAATATTCAATAAAGTACACCCTAAATGTAGTAGCAAATGGAGTAAAGGAATGTAGTAGTAAAAGAATTTCCACTTAAAAAAAGAAAAAAGAAAAAAGAAAAAAGAAAAAAATTCACTCTGAGGGTAGATAAGAACAGGCACAGATTTCACAGGGAGACCCATCCTTGGAAATATTTGATAGCTGACTGGAAAATACAAGGAGCAATCTATTCAGAAGTCAGATCCACTTTGAGCAAACAAGTTGAACTACATGCCCACAAATTCCCTTTCAATCTAAACTATCCTATCATTCTATATATTAAATATTTAATTACCATGAACATCAAAGTTCTACTGAAATATATTATACACATTCATGTTCCAGGTAGAATATGTATTTTTCAGAACTTGTAAACATAAGTTATATATTGCTATAGCATATATTCTAATAAGAGTTTACTTTGAAGATATGTGCATTAGGTAAATTAATACCATGTAACTTACTACTACTTTAAATGAAAATGTGACCTATATTTAATCAGTTAAAACCAGAAAAAAATATTTCTGAGCTGTAAAGTATCTCCTCCTTAAAATATCTCAGATATATGTACTTCTTAATAAGTTGTGGAAAAGATTAATTTAAAAAAGTTCAAATCCTTAATCTATCTGAACTATTTTCCCTAGAAAAAGGAGAGATCAATTTTTAAAAATTCTATCCAACCTGTGGTACAAATGAATTCTAAATGGGGTAGGTTTCTTATTTGAAGTACTCACCTTTTGAATTTATTGTCTTTCTAATCAGAAAATTGCTCGACCATATCTGTCCTTAGTTAAACTAGGTTATCTGTCAGAAACAAGTTTTCGGGTATCCAGGACAGAGTTACCTAATTCCTGGTTAATGCTCTCAAAGAAAATTGAAAATTATTTGATATTTTGGGTGGTGCTTACTGTTATGTTTGGTTTGGCTTTTTTTTTTTTTTCTTTTTTTTTTTTTTTCTTTTTTTTTCATGAATTGTATTTATTTATGAAGTGATTAGGCATAATGGATGTTATGGTAGTTTTCAAATATTTCCAGGCTTATTCTAATCTGGAATTACTATCAGCATCAGGCTGATAGTACATACTTCATTTATTTTATTTTATCAAATATGCTTCTTTAACTCAGCACTCTTATTAAAAACTTATCATTCTTGAGGCATGCCAGGCTGCCAGTGCTTGGCTTTTTTCTTAGGTGAAGAAATCATAATAAACATTACTAGAATGCCCAGACAATACATTTTCAAGATAGAACAGTCTGAAAATACTTGCTATTCACTTAGGTTTTCAGTTGACATGAGTGTGGATTGATGCCAACAATTTTATGCAAGTCACAAGGTATTATTTTTGGCTAATATGCATTCAGAAAAGTGTAAGATTAATAACATCTGGAAAAAAAATAAGTACGTGAGTGTACATTTGAAATAGTCTGTTACTGAAAAAGAGGCTTGAAATGTGCCAGTAAGTGTTTAATGCCGTTACTGGACTTCTATTGAAAGAAACTACTAGATTCTGCAATACAAATAATAATAATATGACTGAAAATAATCAATTTTCTTTTTCTCCCCATTTTTTTCCACACCCAAAGAGAGTGATTATTAAATTTATTATGTGAGTTTATATAGTATGAACAGGTAGCTTATAATTAATCAGAATAACATATTTTAAGATTGACACGAAAGATAGCTCAGCTGTCAGGTGTTTACCACAGCTGATAACAAAAACTCAGACTGACTGCAAAAAAATATACCAGTTGATTCAGGGAGTTGGTAAGAACACAAACATATTGTGAGTATAATTTCCCAAAACTTCAAATGACAGGATATTTGCAATGACTTACACGTATTAAATAGATTTTTCTGTTCTGTTTTTTTTTTTTTTTTTTTTTTTTTTTTTTTAAAGAAACTATCAGCTACATTGTAATTTGGAAAATACTATAGAATAGTTTTTAATTATAACAGGGAAATATTCACCCTTCATCTTCCACATCTGAAATTATTAAAAGTATCATAAACTTGAAGAAACACTTTAAGATACTTTGTATCCTAACAGAAGATCTGCCAAAATATTAGACATTCAAACTAATTTTTATAAAAGCTGCTGTTGAGAACAGATCACCCAAATCAATAATTCCTGTTAAAAAACTTTTATTCAGAATTACTTGGATTAAGACTACTAGGTTTTATAATAGACACTGTATTTCTTCTCACTTGTTTTTGCTGACTGTCTCTTCTCACATTTTCAAACGTGGTAGCATTAATTTGTGGGGGGCAGAATGGCGAGGCCGGACTCTTTTCAGTGGTGAGTGGAGACAGGACAAGGGGAAACGGCTGGAAACTGCAGCATAGGAAGTTCTGCACAAATGTGCACAAGAACTTCTTTACAGTGAGGTGACGGAGCACTGGAACAGGCTGCCCAGGGAGGTGGTGGAGTCTCCTTCTCTGGAGATGTTCCAGACCTGCCTGGATGCCTACCTGTGCGACCTGCTGTAGGGAACCTGCTTTGGCAGGGGGGTTGGGCTCGATGATCTCTGGAGGTCCCTTCCAACCCCTATGATTCTATGTGATTCTGTGTTAATCACACTTTCAAATTCCAATTAGTTAAAATCAATTGCACAGTAATTTCTTTGTTTATCTTACACACTCAGTAGGTAAATACAATTAATGTTATATGTAAGCATTCAATTTCAAATGTTTTAAAATTGCAGCAACTCTCTGCTGCTACTAACATTCAGAAGAGCCATGTATTTCCAGTAGAACCTCATGTAATGAAAAGAAAATGCATGTCAAATTCTGATGTAATAAACTATTGAAAGAAGAAAATGTAACATTACAACAAAATTTTTACAATTAAGAACAATAAAGGTGTATTATATTTTTCCATTATGGACTGTCTGTTTCATGTACCTTGTATTCACCATAATCTTTTTCATCTAACAGATCCATTTCATTCAACTCTATAAGTTGTTCTGAGTTTGGTTCACTTGGCAAAGTTTTAATTGAGGCTTTTTCATATATCGATTTTCCATTAAAAAATAATTCCTTCCAATCACAGATCAGTTTCAATGGAACTTTGCTGCAGTGGAAAACAAACAAAGAAACAAATATGAAGGCATTCCAAAACAAAAAATAAAAGCAGATAGACATCTGAGAACAGTGAACCCAAATTTATAAGAATCACAGTCATGAAATATGGATATGCTAAACTAGATATGGTTTATAATGCTTTCTGTAATTGCTACAGCTTTTTAGGGGGGAAACCATAAAAACACTTACTGTGGCATCTTACTTGTTACAGCAATATCTGTGCAGTAACAGTTTTGCTGTACCTAAATAAATTGCTCCAAAATGCTATCCTAGATTTTAGACCTAGAGGTTAAAGTCTCTCGTCACCAAAAATCTACACTTTTTTTGGTTTTCTTTCTGGAAGCTAAAATTTATTCAGTACTGCACCAACCGTTAAAATCCTTCTTTTCCTTTACAAAGGAAAAATATTCATCTGAAACAAGACAAACTGCACGAAGTAAGAAGTAATTAAACAATTATTGCTATTGCTAAATGCAAACATGACACTGACATCTTTAGATGCTAAATCCTATAACTGTTTAAATTTGACAAATGCTCAAAATGTTCTATTTTGAATAGAACTAGATTTTCTTTTTTTTTTTTTAAGTAATTGCTGTAGATGCATATTACAGCTTTAAATAACCTATTTATTGTTCAAAAATAATTAAGCAGTGTCTACAGTGACTACTTCATCAAGTACTTACTGGCCCTAAATTTAGATAATTTCCACAAACTATAAACATATGGTTACAGTTTTATCATTTAGTACACAATTACACCAAAAAGAAGGAACTTTTGGCACACTTTCTTATTCAGTAGGCCTTACCCCATAGTCTAATCACTGAATCTTAATGAAAGAATGAGAGCAATTGAGAACCCAAGCTTCCACCTCACAGAAGGCAGCCACGTGGAAGTCGCTGCCTTTTTAGGATCTTCTCAGAAAACCTGCAGCACTGGGGCATGTCAGAAGAGAGAATCACACAAACATTCCGGTGCTTAAACCAGCATGAATCACTAAATCTAACAGCTACCTAACACCTGTTAGTTTTGCCTAACAGCTATCATACTCACTTGTTTGTCAGCACTCGATATTCTCCTATTTTTGTTGACAAATCAACAATTTGGTCAATCACTTCCTGACATATGGAATAATGCTTTTTATAGCGAGCCTGAGCTCTTTCAATGGCAATTTTCTCATGATGCTCTCTTTCCTTGGCAATTTGTTCTTCACAATCAATTTTTTCTTGTTTCGCAAGAGCCTAGAATTTTTTTAAAGGGTATATTTGAGATTGCAAAGAAAATCAAACTGCAAAAATGCACCATCATAGATAAGAAAACGAACTTGCTCAGTAAATGAAAACAGATCCTCACCAGAGATGAGACAGTGATCATTAACATACAATGAAATCTAAAAACTTCTATCCATTGGGTAATTCCCTTTTTTTTTTTGCATTCTAACTAGGAAAACATAATGAAATAAAGGAAGTGTGTTACTTCTTCTTTCATGATATGCATTGAGAACATATTCAGTGCTAGGGGATAGAGAAACATAAAATGATGCTGTCTACTCTTCCTAAGGAACAACAGTGCAGATGCATTGATAAAGGCTGATTTTCACTGAAAACTATGTGGAATACTTAGAACATGTGACAAGAAATTTAACTTAACAAATTCTGATCTGCAAATAATTTGAGATTATTGGTACCATCTGACTTTTGAGAAAGATTTCTTGCCCTGGTGGAGAATTATGAGTAATTTGTGTGACGATGTTCTTCTTTTTGCCAAAAGTGTACTTAAAAAAATGTAATAATCAATACCTATAAATTCTGATTATATATGAAACTAGATGGATTGAAGAATTTAAAGCTGGCAATTGTTTTTGGCAGAAGCAAAGTAGCATTTCTACACATTATAGCCTGCTGGGGGCAGAGCACTTGGCAGTTCACCCCAGGATTATGAATTCTTCTTTTTTTTTTTTTGTTTTTTCTAATAAACTTTAAGCCTAAAGGTAACAATATTGAGCACTCAAAAATGAAATTCTTTATTACCAGCACTTGCTAAAAAAAAGAGAGGATGTTAGAGATTATATTAACGAAAATGAAATACATAATTCTTGAGACAAGTTTTTCTGCCACTTTGTTGTTTCCATCACTTCTGTTATTTTGCCCCATCAAAAGTCTTTTAATCTCAGCACAGAGATGTTGTTCTACAAGGTTAAAATTAGTTTATAAGAAAAGATCACAGTTAAATGTTAAATTGCTCAATTCCATCCACTACGAGCTTTGCAGTAATTTTAAACATAGTTAAAAGTGATATATTAATCACTAGGTCACCATGCCCCTAAGAAAACCTGAATTCTAACAGCTGACAATGCAAATTCCACAGGTGGATAGTGTAACGCTCCCAGAGCAACTCAAGGAATAAGTAACTATTTACCGCCTCTCTGTCAAGAGCTTCCTGAAACTCTTTAAGTCGTCTTTGTTCATACTGCTTTTCCCTGAAAATTCTGTTTTGTTTTAAGACCTCTTTCTCATGTCGAACATGCATGAGCTGAACAGCAATCCTCCGCTCCTGCTGAGATTGTCTCATGAGCTTGTAAGTAAGTTGTTCCTCTTGGTAAATCTCCTAAATCACATATATTGAACAAATATCATTAAGGACATGTTACAAAATATTTCATGGACAAGTCGTCACTATCTCATAAGAAATATGAATGAAGTAATACAACAGCATTTACTTGCTAATTTGATGCCTATATCTAGAATAACATGTGCATTCACGAGTATTGTTTATGTAAAATGTACAAAAATTGTAGAACAATGAAGTGAATTTTGAATACATCTTACAGATACACCAAGCATAACTACACTTGTTCAGAATAACACAATTGTAAAGAAATTGCAATATCTTTCAAAAAACTGCTTCTGAATGTAAATATAGATCCATTCCTCAAATTATTAATTGATTATCATTTCACTTATCTGCTCTTGCTTTCCACCTGTCCCCATTCTCAGCCATACTCTGATAGACCCTTGATAAGTCTACTCTTCTACAGGTTTGAACTTCATCCTTTTCTCTTGGGATTCAGATAATTATCTCCCCCACTCCAGAAACAGAGAATGTGGGGAAACACTCCAAATATAGGAAAATACAAGTCTCCTGGGTAACAGCTTCAGAGTTCTCAATGGGAAAAAGTATCGTACTTAGAATCTCTTACTCAATGTTTTAAGAAAATCATTCTGAACATTGCTTGAAGCATGGTTGATGTACATCATGTACTGTGAAGATTGTGAATTATTACTTTTCAAAGTTCTTGGTAAAACATAACAGTAACTTTTCACTACTGTACCTCTTTCATGCTGTCACTGGTATCTTAATGAAAGCTTAATCTAACCTGAAGTGTCTTAATGAAACCTAAAGTTTAGTTCCACTATCTTCACTGTTCAGAACTATTTCAGATATGTAATCAAAAGCATCAGCTTGCCTTTCAAACTCTATTGCTAAATATCACTTCTATAGCAGAATTTTAAAGAAAACTTTGGATTCCCTGGAATTTTGATTCATATAAAGAAAAAAAACTGCTATAAATTTTAATTTCAAATTTGAGGACCTAAACTGGAAATTGATTTGAAAAGTTCAAATTAATCTTTCTCAGAACAGAGAAATAGGTTAAAGCCAGTCAATAGTCGAAAGAAAAATAAACCAAAAGAAAGTATTACTTCTATTTTTTTTAATGTTTATTTTTCATTAGCTTTTAGTGTTTGAGAGAGGGTAGAACACACTCTATAAGTTTTCCTCAAAATGAAAATTCAAACTTTGTTGCATATTATCATACTTCTATAAACAACTTATTCTACAGAGAGATCTAGATCTCTCATAAACAATGCAACCAAACACATTTATTAGTCTTGTAACAAAAATAGCAAAACGTGTTTATTTTAATTGCAATAATAAGAACAAAAACTTTTTAATACATTTAAATCTTTAATGTTGACATCTGAGAGAAAACAGTATTTTTCAAACAAAACCATATTTTTGAGTTCCTTTGTCACTGTAATTTCTATAAAAAGTATACTCTAATTAAATACTAGTGACTTGAAAAGACTAAGCACATATGAAAATCCCTCAGTGCTGTGACTATTTTAGACAAAATGTAAGCTTTGCATTCTTCTTCCCTGTCACAGTATTTCATGACAGTGCACTAGTTTTAATGGAGAACAAATTAGTACGTGGACATCTCAGGCTTTAATCCCAGAGTTCCAACTGCCTCAAAGATTATCTCCCTATAAAGGTTATGGCAAAATGAGAGTCTAATTCATAGTGTACTATTTGTATATTATGTACATTATCTTTTTGTATCATCACAGCAACCCTAAAATGGAAAACAATTTTAGATGCACTTTGCATTTTCATATTCATGCTATGTGTCATTTGATACATTTGAGGTAAACAAATTAACCAATAGTACTGCCTACCGAATAGTGTATCTGCCCATTTGTCTTCTATATTCATCAAATCCAGGCAATAAGAGGAGACATCATGCTGCTCCAGTTCTATCCACTGCTTCTTCTAACTACTTCATTAAGATTTCAAAAAAGAATAGAGGTTGTGCAGACTTTTCTGCTCTGCTTTTCTTTATGACAGCATTTTATCCTTAGCCGTGGATTACTACATCAAGAAGTACTCCACTTGAGGGAGATGGATGTTTAAATTCTAATTTATAGAGGACTGAAGAAGCCATCCATCAACTCTAAGGTGCAAAGTGGTGGGCCCAGTCAGAAATCAAAGCACCTTATCTACCAGTATACATTCTTTCCAAATGAAAAAGGAAGATTATCTGCTAACTGGAGAGCAGGGAATTTTGACATTATTCTAAATAATCGAATATTTTGACACAAAGAGTAGGCTTGGAAAGTCTCAGCAGGAAATGTTTAAGGAATAAAGAAATTTGAAAGGTGAATTAAATCAGAGGATAAATTAGAAACATGGAATCATGGAATTGTCTAAGCTGGAAAAGACTTTCAAGATTGTGAAGACCAATCACTAGCCTGATCTACTAAGACCCATCACTAAACTATGTCCCTTAAAGTCACATCCACATGTCTCTTAATTATCTGCAGAGATAATTATCTGCAGGCGATACTAGGATTCATAATTCAAACACCAAACATAATTTCAAAACAGCTCTTATTGGATGGGGGGAGTAAAGCAGTGGTATCTTGCACGCAAACAGTGACAGACCTAAGGTTGAAAAACTTCAAAACTTCTATGTGAACTAGAAGACAAAACAAAAATGGTAGTTTCAATTTTGTACCTAATATTTTACATCTACTTCTCCACAGAGGGTGCTGATATGCCTGAAGAACTAATAAATATGGTAATTGAGACCTGTTAGAAACTATTCAAAAATTTTCTAAAAAATAATGCACTTTTTTTTAAACCTACTTGAAACAACAGTGGCATCCAGTGGCCAAACATTAAAGTTGTGTTTATGTTTCATGCTCATACGTGTTAAATTATTCCGTCTCTCCCTTTCCCAGTTTAGTTTAATCACAAATGAAACTATTCTGTCTTGTGTTGTCATAAGATTTATGACCAAATCTTACCACTTTGCATACATAAATCTATTTGGTTGACAAGAAATAATCTAGTAAAAATTAACTTCCTCTCCCATTTCCTTCTTCTCAATATATTGCTGAAGTAATTTCCTGATAGCTTTTGAAATTCAAAGAGAAAATCTAACCAAAACATTTAAAAATAACAAGCATTTTGAACAATAGTTAGTTGAAATGGTGCAAATTAAAGATCCAGGTAAGATGAAACTATGCTACTCTCAAACACTTCTATTTCCTGTCTGTAAAAATCTGCCTGATATCATAACATACTCCACTAAAAGGAACACCATGTAATTTTTAAGTATTCTTGCTTCCAGGCTCATATTTCTATTAGAGTTCACAGTGTACCAAGATTTGAAAATTGGAACAAGATTCTTTTAGATGAGATTTATTTGTATGGACATGAAAAATCACTGGAGCACTCTGAAGACATAAAGCACATGTCTTAATGAAATACATTAAATACATAACTCTAGATGATCTGATGGCCTGTGTTCAATTTTTATGTATTATAATTGAAATTCTGACTTCAGTGACCACAGTTTCAGCTTGCAAATGCTTTCTGGTTGAGTATTTAAATATTTTTATTTATTTAAATTATATTTAAATATTTAAATATTTATTTAAATATTTTCAACTACTTTGTGCATTTTTTTTAATAATCTTTAACTAAAGAAAAAAAAAAACTCAAATTACTTCACACTTTTCTAAATCAAGCCATATTTCATTTCTGAACTTTCACAGAATTCCAACTGGTTACTTCTTCCTGTCATAGAACAAAAGTGATTCTTTTAGCTGATCAGGCTACTGTTTTGGTCAACTGTTCACTTTCCTTCTCATCTCTGCAGTCTATAACTCTTACTGTCTCTACATCAGCAATAATTTAATTACCAGGAAGTTTGGGACAGTATCCGTACTTCTGCTCCGCTTTGGAGCCCTTCTGCAGACAGTCTTGTAATAAGCACATTGCAACACCTCCTTCAACTCAAACAGGCAAAGTTTATACTGCAACTGGAGGTGGACCAGTTGTCTCATCAGGATAGCTCTGTCTCACTTTGCTGGCCTTACGCTGTACTTAGCAAATGTCAATGGTTATCAGAACCATTAGTCCAGGTTATTAGGGTTGTACTGGGGCTGTGACAGCTGATGAAAGTTTTGGCACTACAGTGATTTCACTCAACGAGGGTGGCAAAATTTCTTCATGATCTATGCATATTAGCAAGAGCATTCTCTAGAATTTCTGTCCTTGAGAGCTCAAAGATAACGTGCGAATAGACTCTTAGTCTAAGCCAGTACAGGTGTTCTTAGTTTTTTGCAGAACATGAGTGTGCGGGAGATACTGAGAAGTACTGTGACTTCCATATGTCCATCCCAATGCAGGACAAGATTCAAATTAAATAATCTGCAACAGCCATTTTTTGAGAGAGTAGAGACATCTTCTCAGGACACACATTCTACTCTATAATATGCCAAAAGTCAAAGCTCTAATGTGCAACGTAAGTATATAAAACATCCTACTGCACAACGATTTCAAAAGTCATAAAGCCTAGACAAAAATATTACATTACACATTTGCAAATACAGGTTTTAAAGTGAGTACTGTTGCATTTGTTCCTTTTTAATGAAAGTACCTTCTTCAGACCCAGTAAACATAATGATAATTTAAAGTTCAAATGTTATTCTTGTTTTGAGGAAAATAGGCAGATCTACAACTGATTTTTAATCACCTTAGTTCTGTCTTCATTTGAGGCTTTATATTTTACAAGGATAATGTATTGCACAAGTGTAGTAAGAAGGAATGGAAAACCTTTTTCCTTTCTTTTTCCTTTTTCCAAGAAAAAACAAGGCATAAAAGTCCTTTTCAGAGGTAAAGTATACATACCACCTTTTCTACCTTCCAAATGTTATTAGGCCCTCCAAAAAGTGTTGATTTGTACTTGCGAACAAATATTTAGGTTACTAATTGTGTATGTTATACTTCTCTCACCTCTTCTGTTTCATGTGCTATTAACTGTTCCATTAACATTTTACGACGTCTTTTTTCTCGTTGTTCTCTAGCAAACACATCTTCCTCCAAATGTTTTTGAATTTTTCTTACATACTCATCATCTGAATAAGTAGGTAATAGCTCAGTTGCTGCCTGTGCTGTAGTTTCTAGGGTTGTTTTTTGCAACTTCTGTGTTTGAAATGATTCTTGTATATCACTGATAAAAAAAAATAGAAATAAAAGATTGAAATACAAGTTCACTAACTTTATAGAACTCAGTTTTTTAGAGGTATTTTCATGAAGTTGGGCACAAGTCTAACATATGCACAACAGAATTATCTTGAATAGTAAAGTCAGTGAGTATTGAGATTACTCCTTGAGACCCTTGTGCACCCACCAATCACTGCTGAGACCATAGGAGAGCTTTAGTCCTTATGTAACCAATTGTCAATTTGTTCATTTGCCAATATTTAATATAGAAAACAAATTCTGCAGAAATACAAAATTAGAATCATTTGCAGAATATCAAAGCAACATAGGCTACTCTTTAAATATACCCATACACTCTGAGTGCACTTTCTTTCATAGTTATTATCAGGTTTTGTTTTTGTAGAGAAGTATTTATTCACAGCAGTATGCCACCTTCTCAGAATATGGTATACGTATCATTAAAGGTGATAGAGTGGCTATTCTATCTACTTTGCTGTTTATACAATAAAACTCTAAGGAAAAAGTTTATTTTGAAATGTATTTCCACATATATACGAGGACTGTTCTGAAAGTAATGCCTTCTGTTTTATTATGTTGGTTGACAATGTCAAAGATAGATATTGGTGGTATGGTAGTAGAGGTTAAGCCTTCCCACCAATATTCTGTTACATTCTGAAGTCATATGACAGATAGCAGCAGAGGGGCAATATGACAAAATGGCATCTGACATGGAAGTATATATGAAACAAAGATATAATTTAATTCCTCCATGTGGAAAAAAATGCACTAATTAATATCCATCAAAGTTTGCTTAACATTTATGGAGACCAAACAGTGGACGTGGGCACAGTGAGGCAGCAGGTGGTGCATTTCAGCATTGGTGGCAGTGGGCCACTTCTGCTCATGCAGATTTTTTGCAAACACAGCATGCAGTCTCTTGTTGATCACTGGCAGAAATCCATAGCTGAATGGTGGAGATTATGTTGAAAAACAGCAGCTGAGAATTTGCTCTATCAAATAGTATTATCATGCTCTTTGTTGTAGTTTCCACAAGAAGAAATAGGAGGCATTGCTTTCAGGCTGGCCTACATACATCCAAAACCATTCCCTACTCTCTGCACATCTGATATTACAGACTCAATGATTGTAATAAACAGGGAATAAGAGATGCGCTTCATATCCTTTATTGCCATATAAATGGTAAAAAGGACAGAAGGAAGGTTAAGCCATTCCTACAAAAATTATAGGTTAAAACACTGTAGCAGCAGAGGGTGGAGCTTGAGTAGTTACAGCACTAGCAGAAGTATGAAAAACCTCTCACAGAAGAATCAGTTTAAGTGAAGAAAGACCTTATAGTCTCTTCAAGTAGCTGTCTGCATAGATAGCAGACACTTACAGTTAAGATTCTGTCTAAGATTAACAATCTAATACTCAAATATTACCTATCAATGACTTGGCTGTGTACTTCAAAAGCATTTCCTACAATGGACTTCTCAAACTTGTTAATCTCCTTGTAAGTGTCCTAAAGAAATAACACAAAATTTAATGCCACTTTTCTTGTTACAAAGCATCATAAGGGAGCTTCAACTATTCACAGATTGAATAATAGAGAATTAGTTTTGCATCATATTAGTTCAAGAGAAAAAAGTTTACACTGAAAACATATTAAGCATTAGATAGATACAAAGAAAGGCAAAGCTGTTTTCTTCTCTTACTTTCCATTTCCATTTAATTCCCCCTTATACTAGCTATACCTATGTTCACCATACAAAATTCTGTTCTTGCAGCTGTCCATTTACAGGGTAAAGCTAACTTACATTGGACTCTAGCAATTCATATATTATCTCTAATCAGGGATTTTTAAAACAAGATAGGCTGTGCTATGTTCTGCTTTAGATTTAGTATCTTGAATTAGTCCCTAATAATTACTAAATTAGCTGTTTATATACTCTATTTTAAAAATAATCTGTTTCAGTTTATTCAGTAACAACTTCCTCTTCCATCAAAACAAAATTTTCCTATGTAACAAATGTCAGAAAGATATTTTGCCAGATTTTCACTGACTGATGCTACTGTACAATTTTAAGAGTTACAGTAGGTGATACAAGTACAGAACTATTAAGTGTAAATGCTCCTAAAAAACTAACCTTTTCCAAATTCATACAACTACTTTTAACAAAATATAGTTACCTCCACTTCTCTTTTCTTCTTTAGCAATTTTTTTGCTTCATTAGCTTTTAAGGTGTGGCTTAGTGATGGCTTTGGAACCTGTATAACAGCTGCTTGAATCCGGGCCATTATTTCATTTTGTCTTCTTCCTATGAAATGCTGAATATTCAACATCATGTGTTCAGATACTTGACTTGAAACAATACATGCCATATACTACTAATATACCATCGATTTATCTATGAAGTAAATGTAACTAATCTAACTGATTCATAATGAAAAAAACATCATTGATCAAACGATTTCTTTTTCGTAAATGAGGCTTGTTGTCTTCATTTTGTCTTAAAGTACGAGTATAAAAAAAATGGCACATCCATGCAGTTGGACCAGATGTTCCCTGTAAGTCCTTTCCAGCTGAACTATATTCTATTCTAGTTATTTTCTTTGCATTAAGAAAGAATGTGGTATAACAGAAGCACATCTGTAAAGAAAAGCAGTTTGTGTTCAATGCCGAGGAGTCATTTAAGGGGTTATATTAAATGCTAGCCCTGGTCTGGCACTTGTTTCAAGTAAAATTCATATCAGAAACTAAGAAACATACATACTATTAGGCAATATTACCAATCAACACTGAGTCTCAGGTGATCAAGTACAAAAATTGCATTTATGCTAAATTGCATACACAGTACATGAAGGTAAAAGCAGAATTGTGTTGAAAAGGCATTTCCCTATAAAGATCCAAAGAAAGTTAAAAAGTAAATATAAACTGTAAAAGGATTATTATTCCAAAAATTCATTATGAAAAGGTTATGGGATATTGCTCATATTTTCTTGTGTAGATACATGAAAAGCCTTTTTTACAATTACACCTTAAGTACATCCAGCTGTGAAATCTACATTCTGTCTGTCAAGATTTTTCATGCACGACAACATGCAGTCTATTTTAAGTACGAAATTTTTAAATACTGTCATTAAGAATCTTCTAACAATATGTTGGCTTTATAGCTAAACATTCATGCTTATCAAGTGGACATCCTTTCTTCATTATTATTATTTTTTTTACAAACATAGTGGTGCAGAAGAGAATTATGTACATGATCTTATGAAAACACTTTCCCAGAAGATTCAGTAATATGTAAGCACTCACCTTTTCAGTGTCTTGGGCTCTTTGTTCCTCTTGAAATTTTTGAGATTTCTGTTGTTCTGAAATATGTATATGAGCTATTTTATCTTCTATTGTCTTAGATTTCATTTCAAAATGATCTGAAACCTGCTGTAGTTGCAAATCAGCCTGATGTGATATTAAAGATTTCAAACGCTAGAATTAAATGTTACAATAATAGAGTCAGAAATAGTAAGAAATATAGCTTTTAAATACAAAAAATTTCCAGTAGTCATTTTGAACTGTTATCCTGTGATAATGTACAGAACAACTTCTGAACTTGGTCGAATATTTTTTAAAGAAAGGACTAGTTATATTGAGAAGAACATGCAGAACTGAACTTGAACAACGTCAAATACAAACTCAAGAAATTCAACTTAAACTTGTTTGGTTTTTTTGTTTGTTTGTTTGTTTGTTTTTAATAGAAATGATTCTCAACAACTTGCCTAGAAACAGTGAAATCTCCACCTTTGGAGATATTCAAAATTGAGCTGGACAAGGTTCTGAGCAACCTGACCTACTTGACTCTGCACAGAGCAGCAAGGTAGCTGGAGTATGAGTCCTCTACAGATCCCTTCCAACCTCAGCTCTTCTGTGATGAACACATCTATTCAGAGCTCTCGGTTGCTTCCATAGACGCTATCCATAGAGGGTGAAGGGGTGTATTGGTTGTTTGGTGCTATCTCTGCATTTGTCTGTGAAGTTCATATCTGTAAACTATTTGCCAGGATGTGTGCCAGGAAATACGTAGAAATTTACTCTGCTGAATTTGATTCATGATGCATAGCTTCTTTAAAGATTGTTCATCCTGGTAAAAGATTATGGTTTGCACATGCTGAACATTACTGTTTAGAAGAATATCACCTACAGATCTTCATTTTAGATACTCTCTTTCCCGTTTATTTTTTCCTCTTTGCTGTATTCAGCATGTTCAGTTATTTGACCAGATAGAGTCTAGTATAAATATATGGGGAGACATATAACTAAAGGAATCAAAGCACTGTGGCACAAAGCTTAATACAGACTAACTTTCCCTTCAGGAAACATTTATAACTAAGTATAATGCAATCTGCAATCCATACTGATAAAATAAGTATAACAGAAGCCACTGAACCACTACTAGTCTTTGCTGCTATTCATATTTTAAAGCTGGAAAAAGAAACAGAGCAGGTAACATGGAATAAGCCAGAATAAAGGAACGCAGAACACATATTATCCTCATGAATCACAGACGAACCAGGTAATCCCAATTTCTATATATGGCAAAGGATTTTGAACAGGAGAGCTTTTAAAAGTGGGCAGGGAAACACACAACATGCTTGAGAGACCTTAGTAGATGTGGCATATATATACAAAATAGGCATAGTTAAATACCTCTCGAAATGAAACACTTCCAATAGACTTGAGCCTTGCAGGTACTGCAGGTCTTATTGCTTCCATAGCTACTCCAGTGAGCTTTGTTTTTCTTTTTTTTTCTAAAGCAATGTACAATTCATATAAAAGCTTTGTTGCAGCCCCATGCTTTCCTATCATGATGTCATGGGCCACGTTCTCATTAAACTGTACTCCAAGCAGGTGAAGTGTGGGCTCCAGGAGAGAAAAATTGTTAAGCTTTGCATTTGCAGCCCTATGTGATTAAAAAGCAGAAAGAATCCAAAAATCAAAATTTAAACATACTTTTAATTTCAATAAGCATGGTCATTAGATTTATCTCATATCAAGATAGGAGGGGAGAAAAAACACAGTGGACTTCCCTGGAGTGAAATAATACACATTTCAACTTATATTTTATACTGTGTACCTACAAATAAGTCGGTCTGCTAGACATAACTCTTGGAAAACAAATAGGAGACAAACTGCATTATGTAAATCTTGATGTATGCACACAATGAAAGCACATGACAGCAAAATCTTACTCCAAATTGTAGTCAAAAGTATATCATCTACAAAAAGCCACAAATAATTAGAAGAAAGACCAATCCACATAAGCTCTAAGCAATTAAAATATATGAAATTAAATTAAAAACAGAAAGAAAAAAATGAAGCTTATACAATCTAACAACTCTCACAACAATGTAATGACTTGGAATAGTGTTGAAAAATAAAGATTATGGTTCCGATGAGAAAAAATTATATTTAAAACCAAAACAATGGATTGCAGATAAGTGCTTCTCTTGTGCAGACTGTCCTGTGGAATCACTTGGGATCAGCAGATATACAGGCCAAAAGAAGAATAATACTAAATAATATTTCATAATTACCATATTATCAAATTCAATCAACAAATCAATAACTACTAGCTGAGTCAGAACATTATGCTTTCTATACTGTTCCATAACTTCACAATAATTCCTTTACATGAACCAATAATCTTTTAAGGCCAGTAGAGTTCATAGATTCACAGATTCATAGAATCATAGAATTGCAAGGTTGGAAAGGACCTGTAAGATCACCTAGTCCAACCATCCTCCCATTACCATGCTACCACAAACTAAATCATATCTTGTAGCTCCTCATCCAGATGCCTCTTGAACACTGCCAGGGATGGTGACTCTACCACCTCCCTGGGCAGCCATTGCAGTGCCTGACCACTCTCTGAGAGAAAAAGTTCTTCCTTATGTCTAACCTAAACCTCCTCTGGTACAACTTCACAGAATCACGGAATCACAGAATCGTAGGGGTTGGAAGGGAGCTCCAGAGATCATCGAGTCCAACCCCCCTGCCAAAGCAGGTTCCCTACAGCAGGTCGCACAGGTAGGCATCCAGGCAGGTCTGGAACATCTCCAGAGAAGGAGACTCCACCACCTCCCTGGGCAGCCTGTTCCAGTGCTCCGTCACCTCACTGTAAAGAAGTTCCTGCGCACATTTGTGCAGAACTTCCTATGCTGCAGTTTCCGGCCGTTTCCCCTTGTCCTGTCTCCACTCACCACTGAAAAGAGTCCGGCCTCGCCATTCTGCCCCCCACACCTCAGATATTTATAGACCTGGATCAGGTCCCCTCTCAGTCTTCTTTTCTCAAGGCTGAACAGACCCAGTTCACTCAGCCTTTCCTCATAGGAGAGATGCTCCAGGCCCTTCACCATCTTTGTGGCACTCCGCTGGACTCTTTCCAAGAGATCCCTGTCTTTTTTGTACTGGGGAGCCCAGAACTGGACGCAGTGCTCCAGATGAGGCCTTACCAGGGCAGAGTAGAGGAGGAGGATCACCTCCCTCGACCTGCTGGCCACGCTCTTTTTAATGCATCCCAGGATGCCGTTGGCTCTCTTGGCCACAAGGGCACACTGCTGGCTCATGGCCAACCTGTTGTCCACCAGGACACCCAGCTCCCAACTTGTGGCCATTTCCTCGGGTCCTGTTTGTTGCCTGGGAGAAGAGGACAAACCCCTCCTAATCACAATCTTCCCTTAGGAAGTTATAGAGTGCAATGAGGTCTCCCCTGAGCCTCCTCTTCTCCAGACTGAACAATCCTAGTACCCCCCCTTACAAGCCACTCCTCATAAGACTTGTGTTCCAGACCCCTCACCAGTTTTGTTGCCCTTCTCTGGACACACTCCAGGGCCTCAATGTCTTTCTTGCAGAGAAGGACCCAAAACTGAACACAATACTTGAGTTGTGGCCTCATCAGTGCTGAGTACAGAGGGATGAGTTATAGCATAATTCTACAAAAATGTTGAATTTTAATTTAAAGACCTTCTGGTAACACAGAGTTTACCATATCCCTGCAGGAAATAGACCCGGAGTTCATTACTGTCCCTATAATACATCTCGCCTTGTTTCTTGGTGAGTAGAACTTAACCCAGCAGGTGACTGATCACAGTGTTCCCCAGGGGTCAGTACTATGGCCAGCCCTGTTTAATATCTTTACTGACGATCTGGAAGAGGGGATTGAGTGCACCCTCAGAAATTTTGCAGATGATACCAAGATGGGAGGAAGTACTGATCTGACAGAGGGTAGGCTAGATAGGCTGAGTGATGGGCTGAGGCCACCTGTATGAGCTTCAATAAGACTGAGTGCTGAGTCCTGCACTTCAATCACAAAAAACCAGACATATTTCTGAAGAATAAATAAATATTTTGCCTAATATCTGTAAGAAACATGTTATCCACAAGTACCAACCTGCTCTGTGAAAACTGATTAAAGTCATCCTGAAGACCGTACTTGTGCAGAAGTTCTCCAAGGAGGTAGCCGGTAGAAAATTCTTCTGAAATTGATCTTGGAACTGGGTTGTGAGTTTTTTTTCCACAAAAAATACGACCATTAAAGGAATTTGGACATTAATTGTAACAAAAGTCATTACTATTTTTTGTGACATGAGTGTATCAGTAAGTAGTTTGTAAGCTACAAGTAAATCTGCTTTCAGAGTAGTAACTTTGCAAGGTGAGCTTCACCTACTCACTTGACTGGCAGCCTCGCGGGATGCCCGGCGCTGACAGCCAGCCCTGCGGCCCCGCAAACCCCTGCCCCCTCCCGAGGCAGCTGGGCTGCCACTCACCCACGCTCCGGGAGAGCTTCACCTCCTCGTTCAGCCACTCGCACAGTATCTCGGACATGACGGCCACCGGCGCTCGGCCCTCCCTGGCTCCTGGCACCGCGTCCCGTTACCACGGCAACGGCGCCAGAGCGCACGCGCAAAGGAGAGGGGCGGTGCCGCGGCTAAACTCCGAGGGCGCGCGCCCCTGCGGGTGGGCCGCGCATGCGCCGCAGGTGGGGCGGGGTCGCGGGTGTGGCCGGGGCGGGGAGACGAGAAGGAAGGTGAGCGCGCCGCGAAGAGGGGCGCTTGCCCGCTTCTGCTGCCGCTGCCCGGGTGGCAAGCGCTGGGCCGTTATTCGGCCCGACCCCCTGTGGGGCACGGTCGTGAGGCGCTGAGCGCGGGGCGGGCGCGGGCTGAGGCGGGGGCAGCCTCGTGGCTGGGAGCCTCGTGGCGGGGGAGGGGGGTCCTCGCTACGGGTGGCTGTCACCCCGCTGGGGGATCTCCTGCCGCTCCCTCCTCCCTCCGTTAGCCTCGGCTGGCGGTGCTGCCGGGCCGCTGTCGTTACACCCACCACCTCCTCCGGCTGCCCGCTGCTCTTTATTAGGTGTCGTGGGAACCACTTCCCCGATCCACCCAGCCGTCTGCCTCTCGTGGCAGAGTTTCCTATTGTGCCGGCTCGTAGATTTCAGAGCAGGGGACTCTTAGGCTGAAAAACCGCTCTGCTAGGAGAAGGAAATTGATCTGGAATCATTTTCACACATCAGATCGCACAACGGCAAACAAACTACTGCGAAAACACAATACGAAGGGGCGGGGAGGGAATGCAAAACCTGAAAAAACTCTGCAAGTGCGAGCGAGGGCTACGCATTGACCGGGCTGTTCTGCAGCAGTTCTTGTGTCAGGCGTCCCAGGCGTTCCTGTGCCAACACAGCTGCACGTCTGCTGTGAGCGGGGCCCGCTGGAGGATTGGGGTTGGTTTGCTGTGAGCTTCGTGCTTTTGCGCTGCCTCGCTCGCTCATTTCACTTTTGGTGTCACACTGAAATTCTCCGCGTGGCTTTGGTGCCCCAGGTTTGAAAAGCACGTTAGAAAAGTGAAGAGCTACGGGTCTGGAGGTCCTACATCCTTCCCTGTAGAAGTTTTAAATTCTGTTTTTCCGTAAAAGATCTGAAGTTGGTGTGTTTGAGTTTCCAGTTGCCTTTCAGCACAACGCAGAATCCTAAAGGGTTGTTTAATCTAGAAAAGGCAGGAAGAAGGGGATCTAAACAAAGCATTTTCAGAAGTGACATTGATTAACGGCTGACGTAAGTCAGGATATCGTGGATTTTGTACATCCAGAAGTAATCTGAGCAAATCTCTGTGCTTTTTATGGAGGGTGTGCTTTGAATCAAAGCAAGTTATTGAGTTGTCTCAAAGTAAATGTGTAACTCGGCAGTTGTTCTTGTCTTGAAAAGGTCACCGTGGAATTAGCCACAGGTGAATGAATCAACTAACAGAAACTTCAGGAGAGCCAGGTTCTTTTGAAGTGAATATCCTTTTGAAGATACAAAGTTTTCTGTATATGCTAAATTAAAAACTACCTACACTTAAAGAGAAATAGAAACCTCCCCCTTTCTCCCCTTTCTCCCCTTTCTTCCCTTTTTTAATCACACTTGCAGTTTTGAGTATCTGCCATGTGAGTATGTTTCTGGTACATCAGAGGACAAAGAATAAATCTAGTTTAGCTTGATCATGGAATTCTTTCCTCACCTCCAAGAATCAATGTATATATTTTAAATATAGTTAAATGTTTGCTGAGAATAGTCACTTGTATTAAGTTCAGCATTTCTTTCCGTATAACCTCTGACCTTGAAAAGCTAGTTCTTAATGTATCTCCAGGAAGTTTTACGGATTTTTTTTTCATATCCTTTATCATAATCAATGGATTTCTAATATAGCTTTTTTTTTTTCTGCTGGATATTCATAAAATCTCAGATTTGAAAAAAAAAAAAAAAAAAAAGGAAAAAGGGAATCTTTTTTATACTTAAATTCAGTAGTGATTTGCTGTTTCATCTATGTCTGTCTTAGCCTTAAACAGATTAATGTATCTGTCTTACAGAATTCAGAGTAGTGATGGAATGATGTAGTAATCAATTTTTATTTCATTTTTTCCCCTGCTTTTAAGAACTTGGAAAGATGTTTGTGTTCTGCACTGTGAAAGCTGAATCCATAGATTGTTTGAAGGAAAATACTTGCAGACAACAAGTAAGGTAACTTTTTCCCTAATTCTGCCTTTTCTAAATACACTGAAATTTTTTCATAAGATAGTTACTCATTTTGTGATCTCTTAATTGCTTGCATCTCTGCGAAGAACACCAATGGGACTGTCCTGGAAATTCCAAGGTAATTTTCTATAGGACACTGTACATTGGTTAGTGTAGCTTTTAAACACTGATGCTGGGCTATAAAATGCATCTGAATTTTTCAATAAAAAGTCATTATTTATGTCAAACTTCATGCATTCTCCTGTGAATTTGCTTTAAGAGAGAAGGGGATTGCTTGTAGGTTGTATCTGTAATGGTGAAAGGGAAGGGAAGACCTCAAATAGCAATCCACTGAATATGGAGAGAAATTAAGTGCCAGGGACAATCTGCTAGTTTTCTTTCCTTTTGGCCTCCTGAAAGAAACTTTGTGCATGAAGATGATATTATAGTTGTTTTTTTTTTTTTGTTAAAAACTGCGGCTATTGTCAATATTAATTTTTAGACACATGAATGTGGTAGTAGCATGTATAAAAAATAAGAAGATAAGGATTCTGTTTTTAAATTTGTTGTTAAAAACATGGTCTTTAATCACAACTGAAAAAGTTGTAAAGTTTCAAGATTTTAAACTAAAGAGGAAGTTAGAAGGAATAATATCATCTTAATATGATGAAGGTTAAGAAAAGGCAGATAGAGAAATGCTTGGAATTCTTAAATTGCTCTTCAACTGAAGATCAGCACGACAATAGAAGTATTAAATTAAGACAATGTAATTAGATAATTTGTGTTCAGGAGTTCCCTTTCTTTGTAACAAATTTTTTTTCATTACTAGACTGGTATATAAATGATTTATAAACACATTAGAATTTGATAACTTTGTTTTTTTCTTGTTTCCTTGACATTACATTTTTTTCCCACTTTTCCTTCTCTATTCTGATTATTTTACTCTGCACATTATTTATTCCCTCTAGTATTATCAGATGATGATATTCTTCCTGAAAATTAGTTTCAAATGTATTAGTCCTGCTTTCCTTCTATCTCCTCTGGATCCTCGTAAGTGTCTCTACTGAGAAAAAAAGAGGATGAAATTCTAAAGCAAACATTAGAAATTTCCACAACGTTGAGGTTTATGCTCACTGCATATTTCCACAACTGTTTGCTAGTTAAATCTCCCAGTTCAGTTCCCATACTGACATTTAAAAGTTGTGACTTTGGAACCTTGTGTGGACTCCTTTTCTCTGTTACCACAAGGCAACAGCTAATTCAGACCAGATGTCTGCCTAGTCCAGTCTTCTGTCTCTGACATTGATCAATAACAAATTCTGGGAAAAAGATTAGGGAAAAGTATAGACTGAGACCTGTAGTTACTTCTTCCTGAACATTCTTCAAGCCACTGCTGATTGTGGCTGAATGATTTTCTGCACCCACATGCGCTTGTGCAATTAATTACATGCAGACTGTTTTTGAACCTACGAAAATATTTAACATTGGCAGTGATCTGTGCTAAGGTGTTCCGCACTTTAACCAAGCTTTGTTATGCTATGTTTTGTGAAGTTCATTGTCTTGTGTGTTTGGATCTGCATTCTGTACTTTTCACTTTCAGTAGTACAGTAGTTCTGTCATTCTTAACAAATAAATTGAGCAGTTGAGTTGCAGGCTGACCTGATGTTTTAAGACTTTTCTTGTTTCCAATAGCTTTATGATCACGAACTAAAAAATAATACACGTGTACATTAAGTGTTGGTTCTCTCTTTCACTGCATTAGGGTGGGGGACTTTTCTCTCTAGAGAAAAACTGAGGTTCATCAACTTTTTGTATGGTGTTATAGAGATAGAACTAGGGTGAAGGGGCTTAAACTAAAAAGGGAAAATTTAGGCCATACAGAGGAAATTTTTAACTCAGAGGGTTCTGAAGCACTGAAACAGGTTGTGGAAACAGGAAGCCCAGAAAAGTTGTGGATGCCCTATCTCAGGAGGCATTTTGTGTTTTAACCCAGCAGGTGGCTAAGCACAACAGTTATTTGGTCACTTCCCCCACTTCCCAGTGGGATGGGGGAGAGAAGAAAAAAAACGAACAACAAAATAGAACTCGTGGATTGAAATAAAACTGTTTACCAAGACGGAGGAAATGAAAATGATAATAGTTACGACTGTACGTGTGTATGTATGTGAATGTATGTAACAAGTGATGCACAAGAATTGCTCGCCTCTCACTGACTGATGCCCAGCTAGCCCCCCAAATGACAGAAATGAGAGAGATGGACTCCTGTCCCTTTCTAAACTCCCCTGCGTGATGTCAAATGGTATGGAATACTACTTTGGCCGGTTTAAGTCAGCTATCCTGATTCTGTCCCCTCCAAGCCCTTTGTTAGTATAAGCAGAGAAACTGGAACAGCCTTGGCTCTGCATAATACTGCTTAGCGATAACTATAAACATCTGTATGTTATCAGCATTGTTTTTCTCTTAGAACCAAAACAACATTATACCAGACACTCTGAAGAAAACAATTCTGACCCGGCTGAACCTTAAACAAAGATCAGGTTGAGTGGTCCTGGCCAACTGATTGGCAACTCTGCCCTTGGCAGGGTAGTTGGCTAAGTTCTAGTGGAACAAACAGTGTGTTACTCTGGATACATAGAGTGTGGATACATACAAGAAGAGGGGGGTGTTAGATACAGGGGATTTCTCCCTGCTGGGAACTCAACTCCCATTATGCTAGGCAGACTCTCAGAGTAGTTTGCTGTCTCCTTGGTGCTTGGATAAAGGACATCACCAGAAAACTTCCAGGCCTTGTATGGCAAACAGGTCTGTAACCATTACTGCTTTTCCATGTGGAAGATTATTAATAGAATATTATTACATATAGTTCAAGAGCTATCAAAATGG